GGGTCTCGTCGTTTCCAAACGGGATGAGACGGTTGGCGGTCAAGCCGGTTTCTGGCGGCGGGGGGCGCTCCTGTGTCACCGGAAGGAGAGGGGAGGGGAGGGGAGGAGAGGAAGAGGAGTGGTGGGGGGCTGAGCTCAGCTTTCCCTTGTGGAACGGTCGCTAGCTTTCTGGCCTTCTATTGGCGACAGCTCTGCGGTGCCAGAAGGATGCCCCATCTCATCATCACCGATGATGGCGCGTAGGACGAGGAATCATGTCGCGGAACACTGTATCGCCGATTTCGTGAGACTACTTTATCGTTAGAGCATCTCCTGCTTTTCCACTCCCCCGAGACACTCATTGAACTCATTCCAAGGGCAAATCAGTGATGATGCAGCACATTTGTGCGTTGGCTGGTCCCTCAAGCTCAGCTTAGGGAATAGCTTGGGAGCGGGACCTGAGAATTAACCGTCATAGGTCTCCAGTGACTGATGTCAGCCAGTTAGTTGAAAAGGCTCGAAAGAGCTTTCGATCCAAGGTGATCACTGGATAATACGAGACGTCTTGTTCCCCCTCTAGAAACAGCGGGAGCGTTGGGTGGGCGCCTGATCCGCTGGTTCTGTGGCTCTCCAGGGTGGGATGAGACAGGCCGTTACAGAACGTCTGCCGAGTCGCGTCTCGATGTTTTGATTAGGCGAGAAACACGCGTTGGCGACCGTTGATCAACGCCTCGCGGGAATTCAACTCACCAGAAGCAACGGGATAGCCCGCATTATCTTCTACTAAACAGAGCGACCATACGCAGACTCACCTTATTTCTCGTGTGCCTGGTATGAGGATTGCTCAACCATCTGGAAATCGAAGCGGCCGTGCCAGTTCATCACGTGCAGCAACAGCATTCTTGCCCAACCTGCGCAACTCTGAAAACTGGCTGAATGCAACAAGATGAGCTCTATGTCTTTCGTCGAAACAAATATTGAATCAACTGGGCAGTCTGATATTCGATCTAGTGAAAAGAGCTTGATGTAAGCAGCCACTGTGTATTTGTCTTCTTCTTTAACTGGCACTGGGCCAGGTGGGGGTCGGTTATACAATCCGATGGAGTTTTGCGGTCTGGACTCGGTGTGTTGCGTGGAATTCGCAAATCGCCAGGCCGGCGCAATCTTGTGCTTCGACTGTGAAGAGCCTCTGTCGTGTTGACACGTACGGCCCAGAAAGTGAGATGGACGTGTGTGCAGTTCATCAACTTCACTTCGTGTGGATATGACTGTCATGGCAGACCTGTCACGCTGTCTTCAACACGGCCAAAAATGATGAGTCCTGCAGGTTGACAGAGCATCGTAAGAGCCTCCCGTGGCTCTTGTGTACAGCCATCGCGGGCTTGATATGGATCTACGGTGCCTTGTTCTGAGGGGCATCACGGAGAAGTATCAGAGCAATAGCAACGGCTCCCAAGTTTTAGGGAACATGCCCGGGCATGGGTCGGCAACTTGAACAGCATCATGTCTAAATGTCCGGCAAAGCGCTTGCTTTCAGAGCGTGTTGTACCAATTTGCCTCAGGATGCTTGTGATCCTCCAGAGGGCTGCTGTCGAACACGCCCTTGAAACGGCTAGCTTTCTGATAGCTCAGTGAGCCTAGACGGGAGCATGTTGCTTCAAGTACGGCATTTCCAGTTTTCAGCGGCTGCCAGCGCATAGACTCTTTTCAGTAATGTGGTGCAGAGTCGTTGGCAACAGCATCGCTGACGACAGTGCTCAAGCGACGGACCAGGTCTCGGAGCTGGTGCTCGAGAATTCGAGCCGCTGCCGCTCAGGAAGGTGCCTGGAGCTAGGTGTACGAGGCGTTGAGGAAGGGGGGGGGGGGGGGGGGGGGGGGGCGGGGGGGGGGGGGGGGGGGGGGAGGCGGGGGGGGGCGGGGGGGGAGGGGGGGCGGGGGGGGGGGGGGGGGGGGGGGGGGGGGGGGGGGGGGTGGGGGGGGGGGTCACAGAGAAGCAATGAGGAGCAGTTCAGTCTCTTGTGGGCGAGCGGGAGCAGTGGGTAAGGGGACCGGAGTGTGCTCGTATGAAAAGATGAGCAGCAGGTGTACCAGCTGACGGCGGGAAACAGATGGTCACTTGGACTCCAGTGGCGCTGGGCAAATGCCTCGTGGGAACTGAGATTGCAAACCAAACGAGGCAGCTAGGCCGGAGAGTACTCGCTGTGGATGGGGACGCGCAACCCGAGCTGCTCGGTGCTGAACCTGAGTGAGCGGGGTGCCTCCGAACCTCCTCGGGCGGCCGTCTGGCGAACACGTTCAACGAGGGCACTATGTCCCATGTGGCTGAGGACCGCTGAAAGACCGTCAAGAGAACGAGGTGTAAGGTAGAGCGCCGGTGGACGACGACTCCTCGGCACATCAGTGCCTGCCTGACTATGCAGCCAGTGCAGAGTAGGTACTGCCTCGCCGATACTGACTGGGTTCGTGGTACTTGGCCGAAGGTACCCGTGTTGTTTTTGGGAAGCAAAGACGAGGGGGCCTCGGCTGGAGTAGGCTTTCAGCGTCCTGTTCGTCGAGTCTGCACTTCTGAACAACGGAGAAGAAGCGAGCGAGGACGGACAGTCTAGTCTAAGGTAGCTGCGATAACGGGGCCAGAAGCTCTGAATTTGGCGACTATGAGAGATGGCCAGGCAGAGCAGTGGGGAAAGGCCTGAGAATATGGCCGCTGTCGGCCGCTGCTATGGGCTGGGCTGTAGGGAACGAGAAGTTTCCGGGGACCAGGAGGGCGAGGGAACGGGATAGTACGGTGGTGGTGGAGGAGGTGGTGGTGGTGGTGCTGCTGCTGCACCAAGGAGTGAGCTGGAGGTGTCGCGTCAGTTTCAGGCAGACACAGGCGGAGGCACCCGAGTCCCCAGAAGCCTTGCTGCTTTAAAAGCTTGCCCTGAGGACAGCGCACTAAAAACTTACAAAGCCAGCGATGAGACAGAGAGAGGGGACCAGAGATTGTCGGTCGGGGAGGGGGCAGTGCAATCACCGTCGGGCTCTCAACTCCCCGGTCATTGTTTTCCCCCTTCCCTGCCTGTACAGAGGGCAAGCGCGCCGTGTGTGTTGTGTTCTTTCCTGAGCGATCCACTGGTGGCCTTCGAAAACGGGCGGGACGCTGCCAGGAAAGCACCCCAAATGCAGGGCCCTCATTGGGCGACAGGGCAACACCGCTAGGGCAATGAAGTGAGGTGTGTCATGGACTCATGGTGCACCTCACGCACAAGAAATGTGGGTGCCGGCCGCCCAAAATCGGTGATGGAGAGAGGGAGGGCCCGGAGGGTAGCGTGGTAGAGTGTAATGGAAAACTCCAAGGGATCCCGTCACCATGCATTACCACCCCGCTGGAGGTATAGTGAGAGTACCGCCGGAGCATCAGAACCAGAAACAGCGCAGCAGATGCCGCGATGAAACCACTTCCACGTCCGCAACAGCCACGAACAAGTTGTGCACATGCTCAAAACAGGTCGAATATGCCATACGTAACGAGAAAAACATACAGTTGCTCCCAAGATGAGGGGATCTCTAATCATGAGTCAATTGACTTACAATAGCAGACTACGGCAAAAAGACTTCCTACATGGAAGGCTCGCTGCTCGAGTCCATTTGTGCTGAGGGCGGCAATCAATGCGGATGCCGACCGGGGAGGAGTAGAGGTACCTTCTGTAGGTACCTTTTTCGGTGAGGGAAGGTAACCTAAGGGGATGGGAGTGGAATGGCGGGACACAGGAAAAAAAAAGCTTGTAGCATGTGCACATGGCCTTGCCTTTTCCCTGTGCTCTGTCATGCCTCTTTTCCGGTGGCCGGGAGCTGGGTGGGCTGGCGCTGTACATTTTTTGCGCGATGGAAACCTAAGTGGTTGCTTTCTTCTCGTTGCCCTGACCGGGCTGCCCAGATAGAAGCGTCGTGTGCAGTGGGAATCGTTGCCGGCGCTGAAAGCCCTGGGAAAGAGGTCTGGTGGAGGCCAGGTGCGGCCTGCCTCTTACATTGGCACAAAGAAGACGATGCTGAGGCGGCATAACCTCTGGCGAGCTTTCTTGGCCGGGGGAGCTGAGGTGGGCGTGACTTGATCGGGCCAGGTTGGAGGGCATTTTTTTTTCTCTCTTGGTTTCCATTACTGATTAGCAGCGCTGAGGTGGATGCATCCCCTTGGGAGTTGCAGGGGTATGGGGCACTTTTTGCGCGTCGCATGATGTGATTGAGGGAAGGTGCCAGAGGTACCTGAGCTGCTGCTATGGTAGGCGAACAGAGTCGAGCAGGTCAGAGGGCGGGATGCAGAGAGAGGATGGGAAGCAAGGTTTGCATTAGGTGGCACCAGTGAAGACAGAAGATACGGGGAACGTGGGGACTTTGTACATCCCGTCCCCTCAGCTTAGGTATGGAAGGTAAGGCGAACCCTCGACTTGACGGGAACAGCTGGAGCGGCAGCACTGGTGATGTTCAGCAAGAAGCGGGAAATAAACTTGCAAGCTACCCGGGCTGGGTGTTCTGCCGCTGCAGCCTGAAGCCCAGGGTGCGAAAAGTATGAGAGAAACAGAGAGATGGGGGGGACAGAGCAGGCCCCCCCCAAAGTCGTCCAATTCACCTTTTTTTTTGGGGCGGGTAAGAGCGAAGTGCCCGAATTTTTTTAAATTCTCCTCTCCCCTTCCTTCCCACTTGGCCCCCAGAAAGGTACCAAATCACTCCCAAACCCCTCCCACCCAGGCTGCACTACATATTCGGCTCAGGCCCTCCCCCCAACCTCCCAGCCCTTTCCTTCCTTTCCCCCATTTCTTCATTTTCCCAGGCACCGAACCCCCCAAACTCAGTCGCCCTTTCCCTCAATTTTCGCGCCACCTTCAAGCAAGAAAAACACTCCACCAAACACCAGCACCTTCTCGCCTCCTACCAGCGAGAGACAATTTCCCATCGTCGCGTCAAAGCAGCGTTCTATTTGATTACAGCGCCCATCGGCCCTAAATCCTCACTCCGCCACAACCACCACAAACACCACCATCACAATGCCTCGCCCCTCAAAGAAGGCTGCCGCCGAGGCCCCTAAGCCTCCCGTCGCCGCCATCCCCGTTGCGCCTGCTCAGCCCGTGCAGCCTCTCCAGATCCCCCAGAGACACATTGACGTCGAAGGTTTTATTCGCGTCCGCGACTCGGTAAGAGATCTTTTCCGTTCTTCACATCCTCGATTTTCGCGTTATTTTGTTCCCCCAACTCCTCTACCCGGTCCACGACCACGAGCCAAATGGCCCAGCGTCGAGTTGTGCGCCAGCTTCTTCACTGGTGCCCACTGGGTCGGACAGCAAGTATCTTGTCGCCTTGCCACTTTCAACACACATCTCGGCATAAATTGTCAATCATGTGCTTGTGTGCTCGCTGTCTGGATTTCCAGCTGGAACTTTGAAAGCCCAGCCTGAAAGGCGCAATTGATCAGCCCCATGTGCTTCGAGAAAGTGGCACTGGGAAAATCCACGCGGTGTCAGAATGCTCGTTTTGTTTACATGGCCCAATGTGACCCCGCGTCTGCCGCGGGAGCTGTGCCCCACAGAAGCTCTTCAAGCTCTGCTCAGCTCAGCTTCACACGCTTTCCGCTACACGCTACACGCTCTCGCTCTTTGCTACTCGTCGCTCAGCCATGCTTAATAAGACATAATATTAACAACCATACCAGGTCCACCAGCGCCTCATCACCATCTTGGAGTTGATCAAGAACTTCTCCGAGGACTACTATCGCCAGACCAGCCTGCTCCTTGGCGAATCTGCCAACGATGGCATCCCGGGCATCGACCACCCCCTGGTCAACTTGGAGCACGCTGTCGCCCAGAACATCGCTCCCCTCGCACTGGGTCTCCAGCCCGGCGTTGCCTACCACCCTGCCCCTGTCGAAGAGAAGAAGGAGCGCAAGAAGCGCACTCACGACCCCAATGCTCCCAAGCGCCCTTTGACACCTTACTTCCTTTACATGCAGACTGCCCGTCCCATCATTGCCAATGACCTCGGTGATGCTGCCCCCAAGGGTGCCGTGCAGGAAGAGGGTCAGCGCCGCTGGAAGGCCATGAACCCCTCCGAGAAGGCCGGCTGGAACAACGCCTACCAGTACAACCTCCGCCTCTACCAGGCTCGTGTTCACGCCTACAAGCAGGGTGGCAACCTTGACGCCAGAAACATGGATGACGATGCCGCTCTCAAGTACGCCGAGGAGCACAACATTCAGATCAACCCTGTTGACGTTGTCCCGGATGTTGAGGATGCCATTGCCGAGCAGCTCAACCAGGCCAACACCGTCGACGCTCCCGGTGAAGAGGAGGAGGAAGAGGAGGTCCCCGCCCCCGTCAAGACCCCCAAGAAGCCCGCCTCTACCCGCAAGCGCAAGACTGCCACCCCCGCTGCTGAGCCCGAGGCCAAGGCAGCTGCTACTCCCGCAAGCCCTGACAAGAAGCGCCGTCGCACATCAACTAAGGCCGCCGACGCCACTGAGTCAGCGGAGCCCGCCAAGAAGAGCAGAGCGAAGAAGAGCAAGAACTAAGCATGTTGCTTCTTTCATCATTTTCCTCGCTTTTTCTTTCTTGTTTCTAGGTTTCTGGGTTTTTGCAAAGATGATACCTCGTCGCGCGGCTGCTTGTCGTCGACCCCCTTCACTGTCCTATATTGGCGCAGACGTACCGTTGGGGGGATTCTGGACTGAGGGGGGAGGAAAGGACTGAAAGGACGACATCTATTTCGGTCCTCAGTCATTGCGTGTACTGCGCGCGCACGCGGTGTGTATGGTTTCACAAGGCGTGGTTTAGGGACGGTTTCCAACGGACGTGTGTGTGAGAGGAATACAAAACGCCCCAACTCGAGGTGGGCGGTACCTTATGGATCCAATGGCTTCGGTTCAGGCTGGCTTTGCTTGTTTTTAGTCCTGTATGTATAATGATGGACATGAGAATCAACAATCTTGATTGTACGTTGACCTTTATGGGCAATCCCGTGAGAAGAATAAGAGTATTTTAAGTCGGCTTGTTCTGGATGGCGATGGGCGATGAGGCTCACTCAAGGAGTTTATTTCTGGTTGTACATCACAGGCTAAGGGGAACGACGTGGTGTACTCTTAATGTTCATGTCAGTAGATCAACCTTCATAGAGGAAAACAAGTATCTGAGGCTGCATGCATGCATGTCCTGCTTCAGCGTGTAGCCTAAATCTACCCGCCTGGGGAGGAGACGTGTTGGCATTACTTCATCGTAACGACAGCCAAGCTTTCTTTGTCCTTGTCCATGTGGTTTCGTTGTAATAAAAAATGTTGTATTGCTTTTTTGGAAACCTTCATAGCTTTCTCATATGTCATTAATGAGAAACCCCCAATATCCCAGCTCCTCGCGTTTGCCGCTATGCTTTCAAATGTTTCCTTTCCCCTCACACAACGGCTCACCAACACACATAGTGCTGCCACTCATCAAAATAACATTTTCTCATCGATGCTTACTTCCCCAGCCGATTCACCTCAAACAGCCTGTGAACCCCGTCGTTCAGCCAAGCGAAATAAAAAACGCCGTCCGCCTCAGTAGACGTAAAAAGCCTGCGTCAAAGGAAGCGTATCAGACGGCTCCGCGGTGCACACCTCACCGTCCGCCTCGACAGTGTAGCTCTCCGGGTCGACCCTCATCCTTGGCATGCTGTCGTTGAACCGCATGTCCTTCTTCCCGACCGTACGACAGCCCTTGACGGCCTCGATCCGCTTCTTGAGGCCGTACGACGCGATGGCGCCCGAGGCGATGGAGGCGGCCGAGACGAAGAGCACTGACGAGGCCGGCACAAGGGGCGCGAACATGGGGCGCGCGATTATGGGTTGGACCGTCGGGATTGAGGCGTTGGGGTCGCCCTGTTTGAAGACTGGTCAGTTGATGTTCATCTTGATGTAGAGAAAGAGAGAGAGTGTGTGTATTTGTGTGTGTCTATCTTTGTGTGAGAGAGAGAGAGAGAGAGAGAGAGAGACTTACCATTTGCGCGGACGCGATGAGACCACTCTTGATGACCAAGTTCGGCTTCGTACCGAACCACGCCGGGTCCCAGACCACCAGGTCTGCGAGCTTGCCGACCTCGATGCTGCCGACGAGGTGGCCGAACCCCTGCGCGACGGCCGGGTTGATGGTGTACTTGCTCACGTACCGCTTGACGCGGAAGTTGTCAGCGCCGGTCCCCTCGTCCTCGGGCAGGTAGCCGCGCTGGACCTTGTTCTTGTGCGCCGTGTTCCAGGTGCGGAGGACAACTTCGCCACAGCGGCCCATGGCCTGCGAGTCGGACGACATCATGCTGATGGCACCCAGGTCATGAAGCACGTCCTCGGCGGCAATGGTCTCGGCGCGGATGCGAGACTCGGCAAAGGCCACGTCCTCGGGGATGTTCTTGGAGAGGTGGTGGCAGACCATGAGCATGTCGAGGTGCTCGTCCAGGGTGTTGCGGGTGTACGGCCGCGTCGGGTTCGTTGAGGACGGCAGGACGTTGGGGTGCTCCACGACTGAGATGATGTCGGGCGCGTGGCCGCCGCCGGCGCCCTCTGTGTGATAGGTGTGGATGGTGCGCCCGGCAAAGGCGTTGATGGTGGACTCGACAAAGCCAGACTCGTTGAGTGTGTCGGTGTGGATGAGGCACTGCACGTCGAGCTCGTCGCAGACGCTGAGGCAGGTGTCGATGGCGGCGGGCGTGGTACCCCAGTCCTCGTGAAGCTTGAGGCCGCAGGCGCCGGCGACGACCTGGTCGCGCAGGGCCTCGGGCGCCGAGTCATTGCCCTTGCCCGTGATGCCGATGTTTAGGGGCAAGGTGTCGCAGGCCTGGAGCATCTCGCGCATGTAGTTCTTGCCCGGTGTGCAGGTTGTGGCGCTCGTGCCGGCACTATTAGGGGTGGTCAGTCGGTCGGTCGATGGAGAAGCCGTTGACTGATTCTTCAGGGGAAAGTCATCTCTCACCTTGGTCCCGTGCCGCCTCCAAGCATGGTGGTGATACCTGACGCGACGGCCTCGTTTGCCTGTTGTGGGCAGATGAAGTGGATATGGGTGTCAATGCCGCCGGCAGTGATGATCTTGCCCTCGCCAGCGACGACATCCGTGCAGCTGCCGACAATCATGTTCGGTGTCACGCCGTCCATGACGTCTGGGTTACCCGCCTTTCCGATGCCTACGATCATACCGTCCTTCACGCCAATATCGGCCTTGTAGATGCCCGTCCAGTCGACGATGAGGGCGTTGGTGACGACCATATCCAGAGACTCCGAGTCCGGCCGGCCAGTCGCCTGACCCATACCTTCTCTCAGCGTCTTGCCGCCGCCAAACTTACACTCGTCACCGTACACGGTGAAGTCCTTCTCCACCTTGATCCAGAGTTCGGTGCTGCCGAGCCGGACCAGGTCGTCCACGGTAGGTCCGAACATTGTCGCGTACGCCGCCCTCTCCATGCTATACACCTCGGCAAAGTTCATGACGGCCGCGGGCTCCGGGGTATGTGCGAACCCGGCCAGCTGAAGCTTCTCGACAATCTCCTTTGCGCGCCAGAGCTCGACGCCGCCCGAGGCTAGCTTGTTGCCGCCGCGGATGACCTTGTGGCCACCAATCTCGACGAGCGTCACCGTCTTCACATCACCCGGCTCGAAACGTACCGACGTGCCGGCAGGGATGTCTAGGCGGTACCCATACGACTTTTCGCGGTCAAATTCGAGCTGCGGGTTCGTCTCGATGAAGTGGTAGTGCGAGCCGACCTGGACGGGGCGGTCGCCCTTGCTTTTCACCCTGAGCCTGATGCGGTTGCGCTTCTCATTGAGCGCGACCTTGCGTACTGCGGTGACGACGGCGCCAGGTGCTTTCTTGGGCTCGTACGCCGCTACCTCGGGCATCAAGAAGAGGTCGTTGCTGGGCACGGGCAGAAAGCTCCCGTATAAGGCGCGTGCCAGGTCGCCATCGTCTGTCGCGATGGGGTTGTGGACAGTCACGAGGTAGGTCCCTGAGGGAAAGGTGCCCTCGACCTGGATCTCATGGAGGGTGCTGCAGACGGAGGGGATCACATGCCTCCTCCCCAGCATGGTGGCACCCAGGCTCATGAGGTCGGCGACGGTGTGGTTGCCATCACGGATGAGCTCTTGCAAGTTGCTGGCGATGAGTGCCTTTAGTTGAACATGTTAGTGCCCACGATCTTTGAGTACGGCGATAGCACCGCAAACTGGGATCTTCGTACCGTTGCTTCAGAATGGTTCAACTTGACGCCCCGGGCAAGCCGCCGTTGAGCCAGGGAGCCTAATTGAGAGATGACGAGCTTATCGAGCTACAATCACGACGTCCCGGGTTAACAATACTGTCTCTACCAAATTCTGCCAAGGCGACAGGGATGTGTAAGAGGTCACTTTTGGCAAGATGGACAGGACAAACCTCCTTGGGGACGAGATGCATCCTGGCAGAGTGTCGACTTTCAGCCAGATAATCCGTCTTAATGAGCTGTTGTAGGTGTTGATGAGAGAAAAGTATCAAACTACGGGTTAAGAAGTCTCGCTGGCGCCATGGACATTACAGGTAGGTGGCCGTCTTTGATAGTGAGAAGCGGCCGTTTGCGCCGCCCACGGGCCTGGACCGGCGGCCACCTGCGAAAAAGGTGGGATGATGATAAGGCCCGGCCTCTTGGGATAGGTACTCCGCCCCCGAATGGAGGCTTGATTGGCCCTCCACTACCCCGCACAAGGAAGGTTCCCTGAGGAGTGACTGCCAAACCGCCCCTGGCCAATATAAGGCTCTCATTTGTATAATAGGCATTACGTCCAATTGCAGGCGATAAGCTGACCAAGAAGATTGACCTGTAAACTCCGAGGCCCTTCCACCTAGCCGCTTGAAGTGCCGTTGCTCTCTCATTCGGTGCTTTACTCAACATTGTGGGGGACATTTCATCACGAGATTTTGATACCTAGATGACAGTCATGATCCTCTGAGAGCTCAACTTCCCAACTACTGGTTCCTCATACGCCCCACGTCGCGATGTGAAGATGAACCAAAACATACGGAGGAGCAGTCTGCCTGCCGAGCCTTTGAATGCTACGACTTATGCAGTCATACATCATCACTCATACCAGAGTACTGTGTTCGGTATACGGTACTGTCACACACGACAGTGAATCCTCAATCCTTGCTTGCTGCCATGCCAACCAGATATACCATGCGCACTCATATCTAGGTAGCCTCAAGTAAAACTAAACCCCCGCGAATCGGCGTCTCAAGAAACTCATTCTCACTGCCGAACAACCTGCAAATCAGCGCTTAGGACACAGCCCACTGGCAGAACTGCGCCCATCTCACGAAGATGAAGCCTTCGGCACGTTGTGGATGAGAAAGTCCCCATGAGAAGAACCCGAGGTGAGGGGGGACGCGGAGGATGTTAGTCTGTATGTCATAGTATCGCTCTGTCATGGCGGCACGTACAGAGGCGCCCTTCAAGCCGGTGAGGATGACACCCTGGCTGAGGTAGCCTTTATCAAGAGCCCCTAGGAGTGTATTCATCTTATGATTTCAAGCAGCAGTAGTAAAGAAGTGAGGAGGGTTGGGGGCAATTACAGGCGGACGATGAGGCCTGAAATCCAGAGAACAGCTCGCTGGGGACGAGGAAACGCATCTTCATGGTTGATGGGGAGTGTATATCTAGTTGACCTACGACGTTTCGGAGAAAGCGAGCAGAGGGGAAGGTAGGCTGATCAACATGGATAGCCTCAAAGCAGAGTTGTCTGCCAATTTGAAACACAACCCAAGGAAAGCATCCAGGTATTCCCACGGGCAGCCACAGTCACCCAAGCCGATGGTGGATGCAACTATGGTTTCCGACGGAGATCTTGGTCACTGGCTTAGTGGTACAACTAACGGCAACCATGGGCTAATGAGGGCGTGGGGAAATTTTGGTATCTCAGTTTCTTCAATAAAACAACCAAGTATTGATCTGGCCACAAACTTGCCGTACCAACTCCAGGGCGAGACCTTGTCACATCCAGTCCTCTATGCTGTTCCTAACGCCATCCACCGAGTCCAGTCCGAAAGTCGACTGCCACTCCAAATTTTTGCCGCCCAGAACCGAGAACCCAGGACCTTAACAAACCATGTACCAGTGCTAGTCATAACATATTGACAATCATCCGTTTTCCTCAGCCGGGTGAGCTGATTGCCTTACTCCTCCTCGACTTCCTCGTCCCACTGCGACTTCTCTCTCTTCATCAGATCAGCCATGACAGGAGCCTTGAAGATGGAGGACTCAGGATCTGAGCCACGCGGAACCTTGCCCAAGGTCTCGTCGTCGAATACAGATCCTATGGTATCGATCCATCGCTTTCGGCGCTCCATCAAGGTCTTCGTCATGTCACCGATGCCCGGTCTGGCCATACCAGCCGCGCCGCCCACAGCATGGCTGCCACCTCCAGCTCCGCCGGGTCTCTTGTTCTTCTTGCTCTTGCCCATTGTGCGGGTCCGCTTGAGATAGGCGGCTTGCACTTGTGTGTCGAGATCCTCAAGAATTGTCTGGTATTCTTGGTGGGCCATGCGCTCCTTGACGAGCTCCGTGAGCCGAGACTTGCGAGCACCGTTGATGAGCATTTGCTCCCGCAGACGACCTTGTAGTAAGCGGAGTCGTGCTGCCACCTCATCGTCGAACGCACCGTCGTACTCTGTCTCGAAGTTACCTTCCTGGGGAAGAAACCCAATATGCTTCAGCTCCTGCTTGATCCGTTCGTCGACCTGCGTGTACTCCAACTTTGGATGCGAAGCCTTCTTCCATGCCTCTGAGTTTGACTCGGGCATAAAAGATGCGGGTGGCACAGGCGGCGGCGCCTTATCGTCGACGACGCTCTGCTGTGTATCCCCATTCTCTCCATTGACGCTACCTCCATTCATGACAATGTCTCCGTTGGTGACGCCGTTCGGTCCTTTCTCTTCATCCGCCTGGGGTCGGTTCTCTGGTCGCATCGCTTGCATCAATCGTGACAGCAATGGGCCGACGGAGAGTTTATCTGTTTCGGCAACCTCGTCGTCCATGTTGTCAATCGCGCCACGAGCCTGGTTGGGCGCCAGTTGTTCGCGCGAATTTTGAGGTTTGTCGAGTGCCATGGCGCCATCCTCCTCCTGCCACATTTCAGAGTAGTGCTTCTTGCCCCTCTTGGGCATGTGGAAAGGCGTGACGCGATCGCCGCGCTCTCGAAGAAATCCGAGGTCTTCCTCAGCAAAGGGCCGGAAGTAGGGCTCCATGTACGTCGAGAAGGTCGAAAAGCTGATCTGGTTCGTGGGCTTGGCGCTGCTGAAATCCTTGTCGGGAGGATCGCCAGCGATGAGGTCGGCCAGGTCAGTCTTTGGGAAGACGGCAACCGAGAAGATCTCCTTCATCTCCTCCTCTGGCATGCCTGGGTGTGTTGGGCGAATTTCGTAGACAGTCGGATCGGGGAAAGTGGAGGGATCGTCGCCAAAGGTGTGCGCAGCGGGTTGGGCCTTTTTGGGCGGCGCGCCCTCGTCTTCTGAACTCTCCTCCTCTTCTTCCTCCTCCCCCTCCTCCTGGGCCTCTTCTTTTTTCTTCTTCTCGTCGACTTCCATTGCTGATGGTGTTGCAGGCGCGACGGGTGAAAGGGAAGAACTGGCCGAGTCGCGCGAAAGCTTTCGTGGTTTAGTGGATTCCCTAAGCGGGGATGATCGCTCTGTGGCAGCAGGCAAGGTCAGTACTTGAATTTAAATACGAGGATTCCAGGTTAGTCGTGCGGTGACGAGGTGAGCTTTCGGTGAGCATCCTATGCCCCACGAACAAACCAAGAAAAAGCGTGAAAGAGCACTAGACCGCACAGGGCCAAGAAAGGGTAGTGACCTACCGACTCCCCCTTCCTGGGGTGGTGCCAGGGTATCGGCAGCCTTTCTCTTCTTCTTGTTGGTCTTGCCCGTCTTCTTGCCATCCCCCTCGGCCTTTGCGGCGGGTTCGGTGGGCTCGTCGACGTCGACGTATTGCTTGCGCGTGCTGGCTAATATGCGCATACCCCTATCGCAGAAATTGCTTCGTCTGTCGATGGTTTCCTGCAGACGCTGCAGGCGGGCAATCATGCCATCAAGGCTCTTAGAGTCGGGCATGACGGCATTGGAGGCGCCTTGGTCTACGAGGTCATCGTAGTTGAGGTTACGGAACTGTTCGACACGCAGCTCGAGATATTCGGTATCGACAGCTTCGATGGGGGGCAAGTTGGCGGACGGGATGACGGAGCTCGGGGTTGTGTTGCGGCTGCGCTGTCGCATAGCACCGGGCCCGGCTTTCTTGCCGGTGCCCTTTTGGCTCGCAGCTGGCGGCATCGCGGGCTGCCTATACTGAGCGCTCTCGGGTGGAGGCTGGCTTTTGGCTTTTGATGAGGTTGAATCTTGCGCGTCGTCCTTGTCGAGGGTTGAGATGGATCTGCTGTGTCGAAGTGAAGGTTGGGCCTTTGATGTCAAGCGTTAACTGGATGGCAGTCGAGATCGCGCCGCCCTGTATTCGTACAGCCAACCTGCTTACTGGATTGGTCACTGGTCGCGGAAGTATGGGTCGAACCGCCCGAGCTTACCTCTTGCACGCACCCTGGGGTTACCCGCGGAAGTCTGGGGGATGTACATTGGAATGTGCTCTATCAGCGCTAGAATGGGGGGGCTGCTTCTGGGAACTAGGTACCTTACCTAAGGCAAGCGAGCTAGCACAGGTACTGGGTAAGCTTTGGTGACTTCGTTAGCTACCATCTCACAAAATCGGCAGTCTTGCATCAGGTAGTGAGAGGCTCGAGATCTGTGGTCGACTGTTTTTCTTCGAATATAGTTAATGCCTGGTCGCATGGGGGCTTTCTCATCTTGTCATCTAAGGTATGTGTACCTATGTTGGGCACCCTCATAATGAGGTCGTTTTAATCACCTGTGAGTTGAAATGCAATGCTCTGGGATGGCATTGCCCCTATGAGCAAGGGGCCATGGATATGCTGGAATGTTGCTAGGTTGTAAGAGCTTCGCTACAGATGTGATGCTTCAGTACAAGGTACCGCGGAATATAAAGGCGTCACGAAGAATCGCAAGGGGCCACGATAGAGCTTAGAGAACACGTAGTGCGAGGGAAGTAACAAGACAGATGTACAGAAATGGAAGCTACTTTACATTTCGCCTCCTTAGTTTGGCGGTTATTGAGCAAATCTGGATTTATATGCAAAGATGGCCGGCTTGTCCGCAACGGGTGCAGCGCCTAGGAGGGCCGGCTCCACTACCGTCCTCCGTCGACTTGATCAACCCGGCCCGAAAGCCATGTTGGCCTTGATCACTTGAATTCTATCAATTTATCCTACAGGCCCTTTTTGATTTGGGTACTCCATTCGAGCAGAAGACGCCTTCAAAGATCTTAGTCTCTTCTACAGTGCAGCCCATGGTCGTAGTGAGTAAGGCCGCTTCCACTTCCGCTTCCACTGCGGAAAGCATTTCCCTTGGTTCTTTCTGTATCTTTTGATAGCAGTAAGCCTGGCTTTAAACTCGTTCCAATTCTGCACCTCGAGGCTATCATCATGATGTCGACTTGTAATCAACACAGGCTTTTATTTTCAGACTGCCCCGGGAGGAATCAGACCAATGCACTTTCGATCGCGACTGGTACCGCTCAACAGCTCACGATATGTGCATCCGAATATGTATATATTGCAGAATACCTCGAATCCAAAGCCAGCGTATTTGATCGCTAATTGCAATTCACTTGTCACTTTCGAACGCATGGTCTACCTTACCTTATTATTGCTTGTTGATAAAACTCGCTTTGGCGCAAGAACGACCTGAAGCAGCTGCGAGGAAGCAGACAGCACCGTTCGCTGTACTGTGCGAAATACATGATTAGTTGTCGATTCGTACAGTGTGATCCGCTGATTCCCCGGGCACCGGTAGCAACATCAGCGGCCCGGTCAAGACTACCAAAACTTCATATCTATCGAAGCGAATGGCTGAACACCTTCCAAATCGCATGTGGATCGAGAAGTCCATGAAGACAAAGGACACGTCAGAGTAGATATAACTGAGACTCGTGGTATGGGCATTCCTCTCAACTTGAAGGGCATCAGGCGCTTCCTGCGAGCCGGCAACCAAATCAAAGATGGCCGGCATGAGCATCCATCCATTCGTCTATTGCTTCAGCACATCTCGGCTATCACATATGGATAAAGTCGGCAGTGCCCCAACGGCGGAACATGAAATCCACCCTCAATGCTCTTCAGGTGATCATCTATGTAGCATGAACCTCCACAAGAGGTTAGGGACTCCTTCGAGGATGGGAAACTCTCCTTTTGTTGGCGAGCTCCTTAGGGGCTGTCGATGGGGGCCATGTGCTCTGGAGCCCTTCTCTCATTGGCATCGTGTCCTGCTCACCCAACCCTGGACAATCTGTATCCCACCACATGTCGATGCATTATGTTGCGACTATGCATGGCACCAAGCAATGCCATAGCTTACATAGTAGCTCAAATAGACGATCTGTCGCCTATCGATTGGGTAGCCTATGCGCCAGTTCGGAAAGCGGGCGTTGATGACTATGAGCTCTGTCAAGAAAGTCATCCGCACCGCGAAACTCATCCAGTGGTTGGTTACCTTGCACCATTTGGCCCAAGTCTTAAGAGTATTCATGAACATCGGGTTCCTCTTCCTTCTGATAGAGACTTCTATGCAATTGGATCCTAAATGCCACCTCCTGCGATGAGAACACTGAAGTTTCGGTACAGGCGAAGAAGCATGGGAACTACGGCAAAAACAATGTAATTGTCCCCACGTGCAGACCCAGCACCCCATGGGCACGGAGGCAAAAGACTGGTGTGTATCACAGCTTCCTGTGCCATTAAACCAAGAAAGGATTGGAGTAGGCGCATTGGCTCAGTCGATTCCAATTCACAAGCTTAAGAGATCGATGCCCAGATGCTTTGCCCATGTGCTCTGGCCATTGGTTGACATGACTTGGCCCACAGGCACTGGCATGGGCAACGCTTGTTCACCTCACCCTCGCGGCCGCGCTAGGACCTGGACAACGAGCTGGCGGGGTTGGCTTGATTGAGAAGCTCTTCAGGGTCCTGGGCCACCCAGGGATTGGCGTCTCAACCGTGATCTTCTGGACACTGCAGTTATCGTAAGAACGTTTCGTTACTCGCCATGAGAGCAACTTACGTAGATGCTACCTCCCTATACAACAGATTGTTGAACGCTGTCCGATGTACACCATACACGATCTCGGGTCGAGTGACCATTGAAGTATAAAGCAGTCTTTTTGTACAGAAGTCTATATAGCGCTGCCGTCGTTTTTCGATCTCTGCGAGACGTTGCCCATCATCTTCTTTCTTTGTCCCCTCAAAGTATACCCTGTATTCACATTTCAACTTCCCAAGAGTCACGAAACCGCTTCAACGCACCTTCTCTACGCCCAGAGCAATGAGAGAATACCATGGCTTCTCTTGGTGGTAACATTTTGCCCCTCGACCTTGACCTCAAGACTACCTTTGCTGGACTAAGCGCAGTAGCCCTCGGCGGCCTGCTCTTTTCCAAGCTCCTTTCAAAGAATGATGCGGAAAGTGTAGAGGCCCCTGGTCTCCTCAAATCTTTCCTGCTCTTCTTTTACTCTTGCTTCATCAAGCCGCACAATGGCGACAAGAAGGGCAACCAACAAGATGCCCTAGAGAGCTTCTACAAGAAGCAAGCCGGTGCATATGATGCTACCAGGAAGGTCCTTTTGCAAGGCAGAGAGGACATGCTTGCGCTTGTCGCAGCACAGCTCAAAGCCAAAGGTCCCAAGAAGGGCAACAAGGCCAAACGAGTCTGGGTTGATGTAAGTCATCTCGGTAGCCATCCCATCTCTCTCTCTAAGAACATATGTTGACCAGGATCAGGTTGGCGGAGGAACAGGCTGGAACATTGAGGCTATGTCTAGCTTTGTCAATGTCCCCGAGTTCTTCACCAGTGTCTACCTCGTGGACTTCTCCCCGTCTCTATGCGAGGTCGCCCGACAACGCTTCGAACGCCTTGGCTGGAATAACGTCAAGGTTGTTTGTGAGGACGCGGGGAAGTTCCGACTTGAGGATTATGAAACTGATCTCCCAAGTAATCGTGTCCCTCCTCGGTCGCCCGTCCTGAGCTACTTCTCTCAGCGGCGTGCTGAGCACGGCGGCGCGGACCTCATTACCATGTCTTACAGCTTGTCCATGATCGTGAGTTACCCAACGGGACATGCTTTCTTCACTGGCTTAAGCTGACTGTCTGTTCAACAGCCCGACTACTACTCCGTTATCGAGTCGCTCACTTCACTCCTGTCCCCAGATGGCGTCATGGGAGTTATTGACTTTTACGTCCAGTCCAAGACCGACTTCTCCTTCCGCAACTTTACCGGTGGGCTTGCCGGGCGTCATGTCAACTGGTTCTTGAGGACCTTTTGGCGCGCTTGGTTCGACCTTGACCGCGTGGGCCTCGAAGCTAGTCGACGCGACTATCTCGAGTACAAGTTTGGTAGTGTCCTAAACATCAACACCCGTAATTACCGTCTCGGTCACATCCCCTACTACATCTGGGTTGGGTGCCAGAAGAAACCCTTCTCTTCTACCAGTCTGCCGCATGAAATCATTGAGAAAATCGATGCTCTTGCCACAGAATCGCCCTACCTGTGCCCTGCCAACTCGGGCGACGCTCTCACTCGCGCCATTGAACGATCGGCTCCCGAGATTCGCTCCAAGGCTTTCATGGCGGCCATCCAGAACCTGTCCGCAAGTCTGCCACTGCCCTCTTTCTTCTACCAGAACCATCATTGGCGCATCTACTACGACGACCAACTCCAGAAACATACCCAGTTCAAAGATGAGTACATCTACGCGTTTACATGGGAAGATTCGCGAGTCGACGAGCACCTTCTGAAGCTCGGCTCTGACGACGTGGTCCTGGCAATCACCAGCGCCGGTGACAACATCCTCTCCTACGCAATGCAGAGCCCCGCCAGAATCCACGCCGTCGACCTGAACCCGACCCAGAACCATCTCCTCGAGCTCAAGGTCGCCTCCTACACTGCTCTTCCCTACGAGGACTTCTGGAAGCTATTTGGAGAGGGCAAGCATCCCGATTTCCGCTCGCTGCTCCTGAACAAGCTCTCTCCCCACCTCTCCAGTCGCGCCTTCCAGTACTGGCTCAACAACGTCCACGTCTTTACCAACACCAACGGTCATGGCCTCTACGACACAGGCGGCTCCCGTCACGCCATCCGCGTCTTCCGCTGGATCTCGCGCGTCTTCGGCTGCCGCGCCGCCGTCAAGGAGCTCCTCTCCACAAAGACCCTTAACGAGCAGCGCGAGGTCTGGCGCACCAAGATCCGCCCCGCCCTACTCTCGAAGCTCGTCTGCAAGCTTGTCGTCAGCCAGGAGAGCTTCCTCTGGGCGGCCCTCGGCGTCCCCAAGAACCAACTGGCCATGATCGAGAACGACCACGCCGAGAGCGAGGCCGTCCGGGGCCCCTCCCCGACCGCCCGCAAGGTCCGCTCCCACGCCATCTGGCGCTACATGGTCGACACCCTGGACCCCGTGGCCGAGCAGACGCACATCGCCGCCAACAACCCGTACTACCACGTCTGCATGACGGGCGACTTCACGAGGCAATGCCATCCTGACTATCTCTCCGAGAAGGCCCACATCAAGCTCTCGCGTGCCAACGCCTTTGACGGCCTGCGCATCCACACGGACGAGATCGACGAGGTCATCAACCGCATCACACCCGGCACGCTGACCGTCGCCGTTATCATGGACAGCATGGACTGGTTCGACCCCGGCGCCCCGGCCGCCGCGGCACAGATCACAAAGCTCAACCGCGCCCTGAAGATGGGCGGACGTGTGCTGCTCCGCTCGTCGGCGCTGAGCCCTTGGTACGTCAAGGTGTTTGAGGCCCACGGCTTTTCGCCCAAGAGGGTTGGGGCTCGTACGGACGGAGCTTGCATCGACCGTGTCAACATGTACGCGTCGTGCTGGATCAATACTAAGGTTGAGAACCTTCCGCCGCCGACCCCTGAGATGGACCATATGGGGGGATCTGAGATCACCAGTTTCTCCCTTTGAGCGCAGGAGAACTGCGCCTCTCGGCCGACGTGGGAATGAAAGAGGGGCAATGGCTCACCTGGTCGGGTCTTGTAACTGCGGCCGCATGTTACACGGGTGTTGCTTGTTCGGAGGATTGGTTCGAAATACATGACGTAAATATGATTCACAAGGTAAAGAAAACTCTGAAGAATGATACTTATGAAAACACCATAACTGTGATTCAGTGAGTTCCTGGCCCAATATTACCAGATTCCATACTAGTAGAACTTGGTTGTGGAAGAGCCTCCAACTAGATGCTTGATAAACCCCAAATATCGTTGAGGTTTCTTTGATGGCGAAATGCAGAGGTGATTCCTTCGTGGTGAAGACATTTCCGCAGTGACCGAACTCGTGAGAGACCCTCAATCAAAGCATGTGACAAGGAGGTATTCCACCTAGTGTTACATCATCGTGACGACCTAGATCCCCAGCCATTTACACAGCATCTAGTCATCGCCATTGGTTGTTCAGGACATCTCTCCGTCGACTACTTCTGCGCCGAAAATCGAATATGACGGACCGCATGACAGTGATATGATCTGCTCAACGTCGTGGGCAATCACCCGTCTCAGAAAGACAAACACGAGGCTCTGTATCGTTCTACAGCCGCTTCACTCTTGACCTCACGCGCTCGTGGAACTGCCGCGCCAGCCTCATTGACAAAGAATCCAAATTTGCCTAGACTGGTGATTATACACTGGCCGTCCCAATTCTAAACCCTGGCGCCCCCTGAATCACACATACAGTAAGCCGACTTCGGTGCCATTCCTCTGGCACTGGTATTCTAGCGTAGCATCTCCGCCTACCCTGTCGTATCCTTGGGCCCGTCCGCAATGAGCGATACGCACTCTCGGACATTATTCCCAAACAGTCAGCGGCTTTGATTTTGCCAACATGACAACGACAAGTCCATTCCTCTCCGACTTAAGCCTTCCACAAACGGGCGACAGCTTCGGTGACGCCAACGTCGCTGGTCTCGAACTCGTACAGGCCGAGGCCGACTAGCGCGGTGGCCACGTTCAGACCCCACATGGTCGCCTTACGCGACTTGGGGTAGTGCTTGGTGGGGACGTAGTCGATGATGATGTTCTGGAAGCCGGTGTGGGAGTGGATGAGGATCATGGCGCAGAGGACGGCGTCGGTCGTCGGGTTCAGGGAGCCGGCGGCGAAGGGGGCAATGGTAATGGGGACGAGACCGGCGGCGAGGATGCGGTCGAAGCTCCAGTGGTAGGAGCCGTGGGCGGGACTCGGGGGAGGAACCGGGGCAGGGTCGTTCACTGGAGAAGATTATCACGGGTTAGGATGTCTGACGCGAAGTTTTGGCTTTCACGTGGTTTTTCGTACCTCCACCCTGAATGACCTCTGCAGGAACGAAGTTAGCAATGGTTTTTGCGTGCATTGATAGAAGAATATGGTATTGAGACGTACGAGGACCGACGGGCAGCAGATCCCTCTTGGCGGTTGTGTGGAAGGCGGCGACTCTCGACGAATTCTTGACAAAGGCGGAACGGATCGGGGCCGCCTGGGCCATGCGGGCCGCCGTGGCGGTTTGCCGGAGAAGAGCAGGGCGCACAATCGAAGCCATGGTGATCGCTGGAATTCACAGGCGGTTCAATTGGTGTTCGCAGGTGGAGGGAGGTGGACTTTCGTTGTTGGAGGCTGAAGAGTGGGAAGATTGCTAGGCTCGAGTGCCGGAATCGATGATGTCCACTTAGCCGAGGGTAGGCACAGGTCCCGGATCGCGAAGACGGCGTCTGACATTGGAAGGGTCATGATTGGCTCATGACCCTCCGATGCCCCCACGTGATTTTAGTGGACGAAGAAAGTCGGCATGGGCCGGCGATCGGGCCAACGTACATGCGCGACGAGCGTTATCGTCAATGCGATAAGGGAAATTTTGGAGCTTGGGGAGGATCAGTTGCGCGACAGCTTTCGGTTGCGATGTGTCGGTCGTTCCGCTGATGGCAGGGTTGATCCTCAGCATCCTCAGCTTTCACCGTTGAACTTTTCTTAGCCGCTCTTTTCCAATGCATTCGAAAACACAGAATTCTTAAAAGGCCAGCACACATATCCATCATGTCGTCGACGTTGGTGGCCCGCCTCCCCGAATTGCGGCGGAACATTTGCATTCGATGCGCCGGGCTTCCAGTAACCAATTTTAGACAAAACCGAGCGAGATGGGTATCACAAAAGGTCGTGGAGAAGCGCAAGACAGGAGAGGAGGAGTGGGCAAGACGCGCCGAGGCTATTCAGCAGGGAGACATTCAAAATATCTGGGATGTCTTTGAGGAGAGAGGTTACGTCAAGGACGTTGCAGGGTGAGAGCCTTGCTGACGCAACCCGTTGCCGTTCGAGACAATGTTGCTGATCGGAGAACCCAGGCGCACACCACAGGTCAAAGAACTCTTGCGAACCAAACGAATAGGCGCATACGTTGGAGTCGATCCCACGGCAGCGTCCCTCCACGTCGGCCACCTGCTCCCCTTCATGCCCCTTTTCTGGATGTACCTCAACGGTTACACGGCCGTGTCGCTGGTCGGAGGCGCAACAGGCAGGATAGGCGACCCGACGGACCGATTAAAGACCCGCGAGGTCATGGCGAATAGCGAGGTTTCGATGAACATCACCAAGATTCATTACCAGCTGAAGAAGATTTGGGCAAACGTTGAAGCCCTGGGGCGCAAGTACGGCAATGAGCCGGATTGGGCGGCTAAGAGGCATCTTGTGAACAATAACATGTGGTGGCAGAGTCTGCCGTTGTACGATGTTATGAAGAGACTGGGCCGATTCATGCGGATAGGGCCCATGCTCGGCCGCGATACGTGAGTTTTCATACATGGGATAGCCCCCCTTCTTGCTTTCGGTTAAGTTGCTGACCCCGTACCCAGAGTCAAGAACAAGATGGAAAAGGGCGATGGCATGTCTCTCGCAGAATTCACCTACCCACTAATGCAAGGATGGGACTTCTGGCACCTGTACTCCAAGCTCGGCGTTCAGATGCAAATCGGAGGCTCAGACCAGTTCGGCAACATCGTGACGGGTATCGAGGCCGTCAAGACGATCCGGTCGTCAGAGGAAAATCCTAACATGCGCATGCCCGAGACCTGGAAAGATGACCCCATCGGCTTCACAGTGCCCCTCCTAACGGACAGCGCGGGTGTCAAGTTTGGAAAGAGCGCGGGCAACGCCGTCTGGCTCGACCCCTTCATGACGAGCGCCTTCGACCTCTACGGATACTTCGCCAGGAGATCCGACGCCGACGTCGAGAGGCTCCTCAAGCTCTTCACCTTTGTGCCCACCGCCAGCATCGAGAAGCTGATGGTGGACCACGCCAAGAACCCGCCCGCGAGAGTCGCCCAGCACACCCTTGCCTTTGAAGTCCTCTCCCTGGTCCACGGCGCCGACGTCGCCATCAGGGAGCAGCAGCAGCACCAGTTCATGTACAGTAAGGGGTCCGGCAACCAGTTTGCCGCCGCCTCCTCTCCCGAGGCAGCAGTGGCGGAGGGCAAGGACACCGTAACCCCCTACAAGGCCGTTGAAGGCCACCCGACGACCCTCAACAACGCGCCCAAGATGGACATTCAACTCCCCGAAAACCTCATCTACAGCCAGGGCATCGCGCGCATCCTCTACGCCGCGGGCCTCGCATCGTCCATCAGCGAGGGCCACCGCATTGCCCGCGCGTCCGGCGCCTACGTCGCCGCCGCGCCCGGCAAGGACATGCGCGGCCTGGTACCCGGCAACCTCGACTGGACGCCCGTCAAGCTCTGGTACCCGCAAGACGTGCCCAAATTCCTCATCGATGGCCGCGTGCTCATCATCCGGAAGGGCAAGCACAATGTCCGCATCATCGAGGTCGTCAGCGACAAGGAGTGGCAGGAGAGCGGGAAAGCGTACCTCGGCGAGCCCTTCAAGGGCAAGACACGCGTGCTGATGCAGCAACTCAAGAAGCTGGCCGCGGCCGAGGACCGCAAGCTGTCGCGCCGCGAGCTGGAGCAAATGGTTAAGGAGAAGATCGCTGCCGAGGAGGAAGAGGTCACCGTCGCCAATAACCCGGATATCAAGTTCCCTAAAAAGAGCGAGCGGCAACAGGCGTTTGAGGAGGGCAAGTCGCGGGAGTAGAGGAGGAGCCCACACCACAGTCCTCTCCATCTTTTTTTTTAAAAAAAAGTTTGATGTATCACCCGATACCATGTGCAAATATCTGTACAATGATCTGTACATTACCAAAACTAGAACAATGTAACACCACCATGCTCATGACGATATGTATGTTTTGACTTTGCGTCCTGCCACTCTCACTCTGGCTCGACAACAACACATTATCAACGATAAAACACAGTCAAATCCCCGCTCGGTACCGGCAAAGCCTTGAGCTTCTCCATAATCTCCCCGTCCGTGAGGTTCTTCTCCGTAATGATCTGGTCAAACGAGTGGCACCCGTCCGTGTACTGCTGCAGCGAGTCCCCGCCACCACCAGCTCTGGGCCTCGCCTGGCCCGTCGCCAGCCCCGCGAGGTACTGCTTGGACACGACGTACTTGTGCACGCGGTACAGGCACCCCTTGATGACGCCAAACTGCGCGAGCCGCCTCACGTCGACGTACCGCAGCACGTCGAACCCGGCCTCCTGGTGGGCGCGCAGCCACTCCATGACGCTCTTGCCCACGCAGAAGCTCGTCATGAGCTTGATGAGCATGAAATTGCTCACGCGCTGCCGGGCGTGGATGCACACGTACGCGGCGCATTCGTCGACGATGCCGTCCCGGTTGGTCACAAAGTCGTGGATGCCGGGCCGGGGCGCGTAGCAGCTCCCAAAGAAGAACATGTCGAGCAGCAGGATCGTATCGTAGTAGAGCAGGTGGCGCAGGGCGAGGGTGGCGAGGTCGAGCGAGACGTCAGCGAGCCAGGCGATGCGGCGGACGTCGTTGACCCCGTCAATGTGCGCCACCACCTTTTGCATCGTCAGGTCCCAGGTCTGGTCGACGATCTCGGCGAACTTCATCTTGGCGACGGGGACGTGCCAGCCTCGTACCTGTGGCGGGCTGGCGTGGTGAGGGAAGAGCTTCATATTGATCGTGTTTGCGTCGTCTAGTTCCGCGGTCAGAGTGTTTATCCCCCGGAAGAGAGGCAGACAGTGGTATAGTTGAGAGAGGGGGGGAGGTTTGTAGACCAGAACTTACCGACGGGAATCATGCACTCGCCATAGTTATTCAAATCCTCCTTGACAATCTCCAACAGACTCTCAATCGGCCTCCTCTCACCGGACCCTGATCCACCACCGCCCTCCTGGCTCAGGTACTCATTCTGCTTCTCCATCTCCTTGAAGGTGACGGCCAGCCGCCGCACGACGGGCTCGTACTGCGCCAAGTCCGCGTCGGCGTCCAACACCAGGCCGAAGTTGAAGATGAACTCGTTGCGCTGGTACTTTTGGTGCGGGATCAGCACGGGGAACCCCAGCACCGCGTACTTGCCCTCCGGGTCCTGCACCGTCATGTACCGATTGAAGAAGGCCTTGCGCGGGACAATGTACTCCTGCATCACCTCCCAGTCAATCAGGGGCGGCTTTGTCGTCAGCGGCGCACCGGAGGACGGTGTGATGCAGCCGGGCGGCGACTGGGCCACGATGTGCGGGCCTGAGTCGCTCAATGATTAGCATTCAGGTTCGAGAGAAGATGTTGAGAAAGTTGGCTTGAGCGCATTGCGACTCGGGCAACGATTGCGTACCCTCCTTTGGAAAGAACCTAGCATAGAAGATACCTTGGATCATTTTCGCTACATCTTATTTGAACAGGTTACTGTGAGAAGGCTGATGGATTCAAGCCATGAACCGCGGGCTGTGGATGGCAGTGAGTTGAGTTTCTTAGTTTAGTGACGCTACGGCGGCGCCGATTTCTGGGCCGGCACACTTTGATCGCCCGGTGCCGATCTAAGCCGCACCGCCCCGGAGCTTGGGAATGACCATCGATCTAAGTCACTCCTTTCCCCAAGACGCAATACATCAATTTCGCGTGACCAGATGCCAGCATTGACAAGACTTCACATTGTCTCCATCGTTACAAGAAGACCGGGATATCTAATACTGAACTTTCATAAACATCATGCCTGGTCAATTTTCCTATCGCCTCGGAAACTGCCAGAACCAAAGTGCGTGGCAACTAGGTATGGTATGTACTTCCTCCTGTATCCAGTCCACAGGCTATTAAGTCATGCGTCCTTATGAGACGCTTCCTGCCACTATCCTGCTCTCTCTCCGTGTCCTGCATTTCAAGTCATTATTAGCCACTGAGAAGATGCTCAATAGCTCCTTGCACGCTACCACCACTCCGACGCAGAGCGGCCACATTCCTGTCAAAGTCGAAAAAACCCATGTCATTGAGCTGGCGCAGTTGCTCGGCATAGCGCTCCTCGGGAGGGCGGTTGTCCGGGGGAGCCGGAGAGCCTCCACCAGCAGCGCCGCCTGCACCGAGACCCCACATGCTCATCATTTGCTGCATCATCTCCGGGTTGATCTGACCAAAAGGAGAAGCACCAAAGGGGTTTGCGGGGGCCTGGCCTTGGCCCTGGCCCTGAGCTTGGCCCTGAGCTCCGTAAGGAGGGGGGGCAAACAGAGCAGCGAAAGGGTTGGCCGGGGGCGGACTCGATGTAGCGTTTGCGCCCTGCCCGCCCGTTGCCGTGCCCGTTGCTCCAGCAGCTCCGGCACCAGTTGTAGTCTGCGCATTATCGCCAGTCGCCGCGCCCCCACCAGGAGCTGCGCCTTGAGCACCCGATTGCTGAGGCGCGAAGGGACTGCCAGGACCGAACAGCGCACTGAGATCACCCAGTCCCTCCATACCCATCCCGCCAGCGCCTCCGCCGAATCCTGGGAAACCCGCGGGGAAACCGAATGGGTTTGGAGGCTGGGCTGCGTTGCCGCCGCCGGCCGCAGCTTCGGCTGGCGTGGTGTCGGTGGCCCCAGGCGCAGGGAAGGCAGCGTTGCCGCCCCCTCCGGCCATGTTGCGCTGCATTCTCATGACATTGCGAAGCATGTCTGGGTTGGTCATCATCTGGCGCATGAAGGGTGACTGGATAATCTCTCGTGCGTTGGGGACATTACGAAGGTGCGGATTGCTCTGTATCATGTAGTTGATGAAGTCAGGGTTGTCGAGGGCAGCGTTCATGGTCTGGAGCATTGAGGGATCGGAGAGCATCTGGGCCAGCTGGTCGTCGGAAGGCGGGGCACCCATCTGGAAACGTAAGATTAGCCTGTGTACAGCGGAATTCTTTGTGGTCCCGCAGAAACTTACTCCTCCGTCAGCTCCAAATGTCTCGCGACTGGGCAGGTTAATGTGTCCGGCGTATCTGGCTCCGGTGAGGCCAGCGAGAATGTTGTTCGCTGTGCCAGCGGCCATGTTGGAGGGCACGGCGGGGGCGGCAGGTGTGGAGGCTGAAGCGGCGGGTTGGGGCGCTGGGTTGCTGGCTGCGCTCTTGACCATGTGGATGGTGTTGTTGGGCTTGATCTTGTAGGTGGCGAGTGTGTCGTCGTTCTTCATTACGCGACCCGAGTAGATAAGACGCTGGCGCTCGACGGGAACGTTTTCGAAATCCTCGCCGGCCAATTTGGTCTTGAGCTCCAGCACGGAGGCAGATTCAGACATGGTGATGGTGTGGTTGCTATCTTGGCCCGTCTTCACCTTGAAGGTGACCTGGGCATCGGCGGTGCCCTCTGCGTTGTCGGCCATGACCTCGTATGGTGCGTGTACGCGATCGTTGGAGGTGTTGAGTCTGGAGGCGACGATTGGATGTGTACCTAGTATACGACGGCGGCTTGGTATGGGGAGGGCCTGAGAATGGCTCGTAGGGGTGGACGATAGGCAGAGCCGTGAGGTGTTGAAGGGAAGTTGTTGGCAAGATGCGGACAGAACAACCGAATGCGAGGTCAAACCAGGGCAAGGTGGAAGTCAGTTAGGCAGGTGGAATAAGGTAGGTGGCCGGTTAGGAGCTGCGCAGGATTGGGTGTTTGTCGTTGGTGACGGTAGGTGGGCTCCAATGATGCAGTCGGGGAGGGGCAGCAATCGAGCATGGGCCAATTCTACCTATGCTGCGCGGACTGCGAACGGGATACGCAATAAGGTAGAGAGATACGGCTAGCGCTGGGCCGTGCTCGCTGGTGCTGTCGCTGTGCGGCGTGGTGACTCGTGGGCCTGGCCGCCTGGACTGTACCGCTCAAATTAGGTAAGGAACCTCTTGCCGCAGCGCGCTAACGCTGGTGAGAGCGGGAGGTGCGACATACAGTGGAATGCCACAAGTTTGCGTTCAACGCACAGTATCCCACCAAAAATCCCCTAACTATAATAGTGAATAAAAACATGAATATAACTCTAATTAAAAAAATAAAAATATAGAAAAATATTTTGGTCAATATTATATATATAAAGAAGTTTTTACTTATTTGTATTGAGTTTTTATCAAGTTATATTAGATTATAATAAGCGTCTTAGTATTAGTTTTTAATATAGTGGGTTTTAGAGCATTTTAAGTGCTAATTACACTGTATTACATAGAGGCGTTTTAATTCACTTTATTTTCATTATTTTATATTATTATAACTCATTTAAAATAACTTACTTAAATATATAAAAAATAACCATAGTATATTTTATAAGCGAATAAATTTTAGAAATTTTTATATTGTTATATTAATACTTAGGTTCTTGAGATAATTAAGCTTACGTAAATAGTAGGTTAGTGGGTTTTGTGTGGTGCACTGCTAGTTGAACGCAGACTTTTGGCACCGTTCTGTACAAGGGTTGCTCAGTAAAGTCACACCTCACCTACGAATACCTAGCAGTTAGTTCCTTAGGCGGGCGATGGTACTCTCTGATGCAGCATAATCAGCAAGCCCAGAGGAGTATTTTTATATCTCTCATATCAAAGGCAATGACTGGCACTGTTCTATTGGAGAAGCCCAACGTGCTGGTCGCCCAGAATGATGAACAAACCCCCCGAACAATTAATTAAACACCCGGTAAATCGAAACAGAGGTCCTTCAATTCCCAAGCTAGAAGCGAGCATCCTAGCAGACCCCAACTTAAAAGCAGCCTCAGGTCACAGGCACAGTCATCTCTTCCATCGTCATCCACCGGATTCTACCTCGAATTCGTGATTATGATACAGTGTGACAGCTTAGCGCCAAACGACACATGAGTGACGATTTCTTTACCTGTCTGCCACGTAAGGTATGCAAGAGATATAGTCGCCCGGTATTGAGCCTTGAGAACCTGAGCATCGCCTAGTTCAAATTGAACCTTTACAAGTGTGAATCTGTCGACGGCAGATATGGCCATTCGTAGCTCATCAGCACAGGCCAGTTTCAAACCCGAAGATTTTTCAGATGCAGGATGCGGTTCAGGAATTCCGATAACATTAGCCAATGCCAGTTCATCACTTGAGGCCATCGCCACGCCACAGCTGAAGCAGAAATGACGATAGCAGCGATGCCGGGGACGCTGTATCTCACCAAGGGACTTCTGGAACTGCACGGGAACTCTAGGCGCTTGGGCCATGTAGCTTTCTTGCTCACCGACCCCACTCCACATCCCCGGAATTCACACACCGAGAATGGCCCCAAATGCAGCCAACTAGGGACCGCAGACGTTGCCTCGGCTCCCCCCCCTCCTCGGCGTCTCCAACACCCCGGTCCGGGGTAGCAACGCAACGTGTAGAGAAGAACCTCGAAACTACCGACAGCTAAGTTATTCAATCTTGGAAACTTGTAATCTCAACATACTCTCCTTCCATCTCATCCGGCTCATTCAGAAAATACTTACGTACGTACGCTCTGTCCAGCTCGGAACCATATACAAGCCTCAATTGATTTCTATCAAGCACTTAGACAGCCACAGTAGAGTTATTTTGACAATGCGCGGCATTCAGATCAAGGAATATGTCAAGGTGAGCTTCATCAGTACCACGATCACTCTGACGAACGAACAATATCTCATATGAATTCAAGTCTCCCAAAGACCTCCGCGTAACGGACCTCCCAGACCCCGTCCCCAAGAAGGACGACGAGTATCTCATCCAAGTCCACGCCACGGCCGCCAACTTTTTTGATATTCTCCAAATTCAAGGGAAATACCAGACGCAACCTCGTACGATCCCCTTCAAACTCCACACCCATCCTGTACACTGACAACGAAACACCCAGCCTTCCCCTGGACATCAGGCTGCGAGTTCGCAGGCATCGTCCTCAAAGCCCCCTCGGCGGGCGCAAAATACCCCGTCGGCGCCCGCGTCTTCGGTGCCACGCAGGGCGCCTTCGCCTCGCTGTGCGTCGCCCGCGAGAAGGAGCTCCTCCCCATCCCTGACGGCTGGTCCTACACCGAGGCCGCTGGCCTCTTCATCACCGCCCCGACCTCCTACGGCGCCCTCGTCGTCCGCGCGGGCGTGAAGCCCGGCGACATCGTCCTCGTCCACGCCGCCGCGGGCGGCGTCGGCCTCGCTGCGGTGCAGGTCGCAAAGGCCTTTGGCGCCACCGTCATCGCCACGGCCTCGACGCCCCGCAAGCTCGAAGTCGCAAAGGCCTTTGGCGCAGACCACGTCATCGACTACCGCGAGCCGGACTGGCCCGCAAAGGTAAAGGCCCTTACGCCCGGTGGAAGGGGTGTAGATATCGTCTACGACCCCGTTGGCATGGTCGACGCCAGCACGAAATGCACGGCCTGGAATGGCCGCATCCTCATCATCGGCTTTGCGGCGGGCAAGATTGAAAAGGTGGCTATGAACAAGGTGCTCCTCAAGAATATCAGCCTCGTCGGCATCTTTTGGGGCCAGTACGCCGTCAAGGAGAAGGAGACCGTCGTCAAGGTCTGGGAGGGCATCATGAAGCTCGTCGCCGAGGGCAAGCTGCGCGGTACCGAGTTCACCGACGAGGAGTTTGTAGGGCTGGAGCGCATTCCCGAAGCACTGATAGCTTTGGGGAGCCGGGGAACCTGGGGCAAGGTGGTCGTTAAGATACCGCAGGACGGCCAGAGCAAGTTGTAGAGCAAGTGTAGCAAGACTTGTCGTTTTGGACGCATAGAGCGAGACCTATCGAGATCAAACATTGAATCACCAACCTACGCAAATTTTCAGCATCACTCTCTTAGATGTGGCATTCGCATGTTGTGCTTCAAATTGTTCTTCTATTCACATTTGCCATTGCCAGGACATGCGCCAGAAGGCTCTCTCTCTCTCTCTCTCTCTCTCTCTCTCCGACAGTTTTATCATGAAATCATAATCATTCCCGTGTTCCCGTCTATTACAGCTCAGTTCACGACCAGCTCAACCAAACGCAACTGCATCGCTTCCTATGCGCCCGTGATCTGCGTCAACGACCAGAATTTCTGCAAAACATCCTTATCCACGTTGATGGCCCAATCCTGCTCGAACTGCTGCTCGCCACCAGAGCGCTGGACGACATCCTGCAGCCTCTCCTTGACAAACCTCATGGCGTTGATCGTGTGAACGGGGTCCTTCGCGCCAAACTCCGTCTCCTTGATGCTCTTGGGCGTGTCGTAGTCGGTGGGCTCGAGTTCACCCCAGATGAGCGAGTCCGTGCCGTCCGTAGTGCCGTCCTGAAGCTCGGCAATAGTGCCCACCCACAGGGTGAAGTAGTCTTGCAACTTGCTCAATGTGAGGTTCTGCATCGGCTGCTGGAGCTCCAAGAGCCGCGAAAGGGCGAGGAGCGAGAGCTTCTGCCTAGGAAGATGATCCAACCCGTCGAGGTGGGAGAACCACTCGCCGCTGAGCCAGGCCCAAACCTGTTCCAGGGGCCCGAAAGATGTGAGCATTGTGACGAAAAGTGTCGGGTCGGCGATGAGGAGTCGCGAAAGAATTGCAAAGTAGTCGCGTTCTGTTATCGTGTTGAGCTTGCTGACCTTTCTGTTCGGTCCGGTCGTCTGATGGGCCTCCCAAGCATCGTGGAGAGCCTCCATAATCTTCTTCAAGAAACCAATTTCGAGAAGATCCTGCATGATCACCTGGGTTCCACCAAGCTCAGAAGCGGCCCGGATCAGGTATTCGATGCACACAGTGCCGAGTCTGACCTGTTCTCGGCTTCTCGAATCGAGAACGCCTGACAATGCGATCAAGAATGGACGCCGCAGTCTGTCTTCCATGACAGCCTGTGTGCCTAGTAGAATGTACGACTCGACTACGGATAAGGCCTGAGCAGCGGTCTCCGTTTGGTATTCCAAGAGGGGGAGTGATAATTCCGCGATGCTCATGATATCGGCGGAAACGGGTGGGTTGCTTTGCATGAGGACAGAGTTCCAGAGCTCCAGTGCCTCGTCAATCAGGTAAGTGTGCAAGTCGGAGCCCGGTTTGGCTGCTTCTGACAGCAACGGGACCATCAGATGGTGATACCTCTGAGAGTCACTGCCCATGGACATGACCAGTGCAGCAAAGATAGCGATGATGGCTTGCTTAATCATGTACTCCTCCGTTCCAGAGTTTTCCCAGATGCTCGGCAGGCTTGACATGATAAAGTCTGCAAACTGAGAGACATAATTCTCTAATCTTGTGACCAAAATCCGCATAGACTCCAGCACTGCGAGCTTGGTCTCGTCCACGTCGACATTTTGGATCAGCTGAAGGAGCTCATTGAGTACATCGGCTGCATATGGGAGGAAAGCCTCTGCGCTGAAGGCAAGCTCATCCACGATCCACCGCAGCTGACGCGCAGCTGTGATCCTGACGACAATATCGTTGTTCGGGTCTGCGGGGTTGAGAAAATGGCGGAACATTTCGTAGATGAGAGGTCTACTGTTGTCGGCAATCTTGACCGTAACCCATTGACTAACCATGATCGCGATCCGTCTGCGAAGAACCTTATAAAGGGGCCCTTGTTGTTGCGCATCTTGAAGAACAGTCGAGATCAGGAGTCTGTCGAAGTCGAAAGCATTCATTACGTTGGGTGCAGCCAACCCCATAGCCGTATACACTGCCTCCTTTGTAGCAATATCTGACTGTGCGTTTGTCGCGGTTTGGAAGTAAGAAAGCAAAGGAGGTATCATGAGTTCCTTGAAGTTGACAAGCAAATCAAGAAATAGTTTCTCGGCGCATGGGCGTACTTCCCACTCGTAGGCGTTGCCCTCACTCTGTTCTTGTTGCTCCCATTCTTCAGGGTCTTCCTCCCATGCATCGAGGTCGGCCTTTCGGAAGACAAAGAGATGTGTGATGATGATGCTTGCCATCTGGACTACAAAGTCATCCTTGAGGAGCTCTTGCTTGATGAGCGCAACAGCATCGTTTTCGTCTTTCTTAGCTTCCGCACTCCGGAACTTGAACGTCTGCTTGGGATAGAATGCAATCCTCAAGCATGCCCTCATCAGCAACAGACCCCTCAGCGCCAGTCTTTCAAGCAAAGGTCCCTCGACCTTGGACTTGGACTCTGACGGGCCCGAATCACCAGAGGACTGGCGAATGCCACCCGACTTTTCAAAAACTTCGGCAAACTTCGCAACGAGATCCCAGTAGGCGTGGACCAAGGGTAAAGAATTTGGCAGAACAGCGAAACTCGCGGGGTGCGCCTCTGACATATCGATGTGCAGCTTCGTAAATTGTAAGAGGTGCTTTCCTACCGTGTCTTGATAGGGCGCTGGAACTGGGGAGTCGTGGCTCACGAAGCCGAGAAATTGCCCGAAGTGATTCTGAGACACGGTCCAAAACTGTTCAACCGTCTTGTCGTTATGAGGAGCCTCATAGCCTACCACGAGCAGCCGTCGAATGGTTTTGAGAGAGATGAGACTGTTGAGCATAGCCACGTCGGCTGCATCCTCTTCACCACGGCCACTCGTGAGATAGTCAACCCAGATAGCTGACTTTTCGGTATAGATCTCTCCCAACAAGTACACCATTTCGGGGGTAACAGATTGAAGGGCAGTTTGGGATCTCCTGAGGCGAGCAGTACCTAGCTCCTTCACAACGCGAAGAAGAATCTGTAGAGCACCATAGAGATGCTGCTGATTCCCATTCTTGGAGGACCTGGCGAGGCCGATGATTTGCGAAAGCGCATCCGGCCAGTGCTGCGGATAGTCAATCCTAATGACTTTGGCGGTAACGAGGGAGTTGTGCAGCGAGAGTCCTGTTTCCTCCTCTTCGAGCGTGCCCTGGAACAAGCGTTGCCGGACTACATTCTTCTCTTCTGGTTCCAGTCCACCTTTGACGTGGGGGAGTAAGCGCCAGTACTTGTCGATTCCGTTCTTAAGCTGAATGACGGCTAAGAATCGAAGCTCGTGAGGAAGGGACTTGTCGAGGAAAACGGTCTGGAGACAGCATGTCAGCAAGCTGCTTGATCACAGCATGCACAGGGGTGGATTACATACCTGAAGAGAAGAAAAGTATCCTTTCTCTATTTCCCATGACGACAGCTGTTGCCCAGCGGCCTGTCTGCGCGCATAGTCGGCCGAAGTCGCGGATTCGAGAACGCGGCAGAGCTCCTGCAGGCCGAGGGGGTTGGCATCGCCGGGCACCTCGATCGCGGAGCTCATGTTGTGGTCTTCTTTATGAGCGACCCAGGCGTCGATACCGCAGTCGTTTGGTCCCAAGGAGTTCGGGGGTTGGTATCGAAGCTTCTCGTATTCGAGAAGCGGCGTGAGGGACGAAGAAGCGGTTGGAAATTTAGATCAGGCCCTCTTATCGCTGTGGCGGGGCACTGAGGTGGTGGAAAGGGCCGCCCATCGCGGGGTACCTTAGTGGGGCGTTTGAGGAGGGTGGGCGCTGTTCGCAGTTGGAAAGCGCAGGATGTCACTCCAAGCGTCATGACAAACTCTCCTGTCCTGACGACGCGCCACCTCCTTACAGGGCAAAATAAGGTTGCCTGCAGATTGGTATCCCACATGGTGAAGGATAAGAAGAATATGCTTCTCATAATGCGACAACTCATACAGCAAAACCTTTACTTGAACCTGTGCCATGGAATTCTACTTCACTATTATACCAACTATGGCTTGCCTCTGTCTATCGACAGGCCGAGGAGACTCGGAAGCGAAGAGGAAATTTATTGAACCAATACAGGCTCATTTTGAGTTACAGTTCCAAAGAGTGTCTTTTCCTTCTGTGGATATCTAAGCGTTGCATAATCCAAACACGAAAACTAAGCCTTGCTCGAAAAAACCGATCACTACTCAAGGGTTTTGATCCTTTTACTAGGTAACGTGTAGCCGGGCCTCCACGGAGAACGTTCTCGAGAAATCTCATGTAACTAACTCATGACCACATCAGTCCCATCATCTCACTGTCCAACGTTTACGTGCCCAGCACTCCAGTTAAACATCCCTTCCACTGTTCTTGGCTCAGGAAACGGAAACATGCCAGAATCTGGAGCCACGCCAGATGTTGTCATATCGGCTATGAAAGCGTCCATGCATGAATCCAACTGATTGATGTTGTCACGATTGCCGGTAACATTCAAGTCTCTCAGCACATCGCTGACTTCATTGCCAATGTTCCTAGCGACGGGCCACATCTCCCCGGCAACCTTGAGTACGCTGAGCAGGAGGTCAAGCTTCTCGCGCAGAGCCGGTGAATCAGATCCTCCGTACATCCTCGCATCCAGCAGCGCAAGGGCGGCCCTTCGCAATCCAATGATGCACGCAGGGCTGTATCGGGCAGGTGGTAGCGAGAAGTTGAAGAGACCGATAGTTGAGAGGCCTGCTTGGAGGGCGATTGAACATTCGAGCCACGGGTAAGACGAGCCAGAGCATCGTGGCATTCGAGGAAAGGCCATGTCGCGCGACTTGAAGAGTGGGCCAAGAGTGAGCAAGTCCCGAATTCCAAATCCTGACGCTTCCATGGGCAGCTGCATCTTGATTCTCAGGCTAGCTTTCGATCAGTATCATTACCCTTGACTTGTTGATGCGAACAAAGCAGACTCACCTGTTTGCGTAGGCCATCGCATGAAACAGAACCATGTCAACCGCGCCTCCCGGGTCTACCAACTGCTGTTTCCATTTTGGTAGGTTGATGAGCCAGCTCACTAATCTAGAGTCGGCTCTATCAATGGTGTTAGACAACAGTCCCGGTTGCAGTCTTGGCATGGGAAGTATCAACTCTGTGCTCAACCGGCAGAGATCGATGAGATACGTCCATGATGAATAGCTCTTCTCATCCATGGGATCTCTTGCACTGTAATTTTTCAAGGATAACGGTTGTGGAATCTCCTGTCTTTTGTTAGCACCAGATTCGGCTTCAGAGTGACGGTGGCCAGTTGTTCGCATACCCCTGACTGATATTCCCACTCTTCACAGGGAAGTTCTGTTGATGCAACAACGCCAGACAACATGAAAGTCGGCGAATCCTCGCGCATCGCACGCATGTTGCCCTGCCAGTAAAGAGCCCAGTAGGTTCTCCGTGAGCTCTCTGCCATGAAAGGATCAGATGCGGCATCTGCGAACGCCTTGTCTTGCATGCCGAGGTCGAGAGCCATCTGAGTCGCAGCGTCCATCCACCCCGCACTCAAGTCCATTCGACCCTCGCCGAAGGCGGCAACACTGAGGACGAGAAGTCCCTGTACTGTCCAACAAGTCATCGGCAGGCTACCACTTGCGAGACTAAATGCTTTCTCTCGCAGTTCCTCCGAGGATACGGCGTTCGAGAAGAGGGAGCCCACATAAGTAATGCAACTCGTCAGAAAATGGAAAGATTCGGGGTTGGATCGAATCCGACTCAAGAGCTGATTCCTGGGTAGGAGCCACGGATGGGTGTCGTGAAAGTTGGTGAAGTAAAGGTCGAAGAGGAACGAAGTCGGCGACGCGGTTTTCAAGTCAGGAATATGAGAACTCCTGGCTAGAGACCATCCGCAATGTAGCTTGTCGACTAAATTGATGGGGATATCGAAGCTCGCCACCTCGGGAGATGGAAAAGAGACTGGCGTGTCTGGGGAGGCTGAGGGGGGCCCGACAGGATCATTGATGAGGCTGCGTTTCTTAGCATCCCGAATCCCTCGGCGTGATTTTGCATAGTAGCAGGCCCTTTCCTCTAAGCGGCATCTCAGGCAGGTCGGCAAGGCTGAGTCGCACTTGACGTGCTTTGATCGACAGGGCACACAGGCGAGAGACGCTCTGATAGTGGCCTTGGACCTCACAGCGCCAGCACGTTGCTGCATATCTCCTGGGCTATTGGCTTCCCTTGGACGGGTACTGATGGAGAGCACCATCGTGAGCTGCGATGAACTTGGTAGGGCGTCGTGATTGGTTACATGAGAGAGTCAAATGTCATCTGCAAGAATCCTTCGATCTGGGCTCAGATCATCCAAGGAAGCCGCTGGTGTTTATGTAAATCTATGCCCCGACCAACAACGATGGCCGGACTCTCAGTTATCTTTGCCCCAGTCGATAAACGGGATGCCTCAATGTTACGTCCACATATTGGCCGGCCCGATCTAGGCAAGCAAGACGGCGGCCGGCGAGAGGCTGAATGAAGGTAGATGACATAACAGAATGGGGGCTCCGGAGTCCTCAACATGCGTGGGGTGTCTGGGCCGCCCGCCACTTTGCTATGCTCCGAGCATCCTCGGACACTGTTCTTAGAACAAGAGCCACAAAAAAGCGCGGTGAGTGAGTGACTCTGAGCCCATAAGTGAAAATAGAAGCATCTTGGTAAGCACCGTTGTGAGAGGCAAGGTATGGGCTGCGTTACGTCGGAGCCTTGTTGAGCCACACCTGCGTCCCGGTCGATTGGGCAGAGGATGTTTAGGCTGTATACGCTTTCCGGATTAGGGATACCATCATGCAGGTTTGGGGTTCCTCAAAAGTCTGCTGCACGATGTCTAGTCTGGGCCTCCCGCTCTACCCGTTGGTCGACCTGGGGACCCGCGTATGTAGTTGTCCCGATATTGGCCCCGGACGGATACAGACTTTCGTCGTATCTGGAGCGGGCTTAAGGGGGCAGCAATGTTCCATGGAAGCTTCTGGCTCAAAGCATAAGGTAGCTAGCTCTCTGCTCCTTACTCTTCAACATATGATGCGGAGCCGAGATTGGCTTCGTCACGACAGGCGGGTTCCTAGTCGAGCGTAGATTTCAGCATACTAGCTCTGGAGGCTTGCGGATTACGATCAGCTAAAATCTGGATCGCTGTGCCAAAGGTGAGGTGCTGAGCTTCAATGGCCTTTTCGTTGCTGAGTAACGTTACCATCGACGTGATGTGATGAGGAGCCAAAGGGCAGCGCCAAATTACGATGTGCGTCATTGGCTTCGCTCAACTCCGGCTGTCAGATTAGCTCCGTGTCTAACAGATGTTCTTGAACATAATAATCCAGAGTTACAGCAAGTCGCCGGAGGCAACAGGGCAAGAATCTGACAAGCGAAGAAAGCCCTGAGGATGCCTTGCAAGCCTCTCTGGCTGGTAAAGTCGAGAAGAAGGGTTGCTCGCGCTAGTCAACATAAGCTTGACCTGATCCTGCAGCTGGGTGGCCGGATGTTGACGAATCGAATGCAAGATCCTTTCCTTCTTCTCTCCCCTTGGCACACCCCAAAGCTGCGAAGCACTCTGCGGGTAAGGCAAGGGTCATCTCCCCGTCTCAGCATAGTGGCATAGTATAGCGTATGGTGTGTCGGGTATGTCCGTTTGTGTTCATGTCGACAACCATCAGTTATAGCAGAGAAGCGGAGACGACGCCTGTCTACGGTCGTTGGCGGCAGGGGTCGGTGCTTGAGGCGAGGTCATCTCAAGCACTGAACTACTCGCGTTGAGGTGGTTACACAGGGGTCCAGGTTGGTGACACATCGTCTGATGTAAGCCTGTCTTTTGCATCGCGTCTTGAGAACAAACAGCATGACAGATGTAGGTAGAGTGGTTTGTAAGACCACAACCAACTCGCCCAAAGTAGAGCTGCTTTGGTAATATTAAGGTACCTTGATGAAAGTCGGGGTTCAGTGGTCATACAGGAAAGACAGGGAGAGGCCTGGGCGCCCCGGTACGTCAGATGCTCCGCCGGCCGATTCTCGGCTCAGACCATCATCGCCCAGGTAATCCCCAGCCTGTCAGCGGCAGGCAGGGGAGTTGGGCCTGGTGCCGATGCAGGTGGGTAGAGCGGACCTCGGCTTTTCCTCCACTTCCCACTCTTGAGGGACCAGTCCTCAACTTGTCATCAACCACAGTGGGAAGAGGTGTGATGCATGGTAATTTGCACCTCACCACTACCTTCCACCACCCAATGCCGTCCCGATGACCTCGACCAACTTTGCGCAAGCGCAGCAGCGCCTGGCAGCACGACGACAAGCACGCGAAGCCAATAATGCTGCCCGACTAGCCGCCCAGCGCGATTCCTCACGCACCCGGGCCCAAATCGATCGTTTACCGTTCCCATTCAGCCGCCTCGGCTCAGCATGGGACTCGATATCATCGCAAGATGGCACTCGACCCGCCTTTAGAGTCGGACAGGTCGATGCGGAACTGCTAGATGACGAATTGTTAGAGTTGCTCCGCGGCCAGGTTGGCGATGCACTCAAGTACTTCGCCGGCGGCCATCTGAAAGACGACTGGTCTGCCGAGATTCTTCTTGCACTCCGCGCCATTCTTTTCAAGTTAACGGTCTGGGATAACGACGCGACTTATGGCGCAGCTCTACAAAACCTGAAATACACGGATGCGCGCAAAGACGGCTCGGTGCTTGTTGCGCCATCTAGATGGCAAAAGTCATTATACGGATTGGCCACCGTATTTGGGAAATACGGCTGGGAGAAGTGGGAGAACTGGCTGCTTGAAAACGACGATGGTTACAGCGACGAGCCCAATCCTCGACTCCAGAGGCTGTCACGTATGACATCCCGGATCACGACGCTCCACGCAGGAGCAGCCTTTGTCTCGTTTCTCGTCTTTCTGCTGCAGGGAAGATATCGCACTCTCCTCGACAGAGTCCTACGGATGCGCCTGGCTCCACCGACCAGCCAGGTGAGCCGCGAGGTGTCCTTTGAGTACCTCAACCGGCAACTCGTTTGGCACGCCTTCACCGAGTTTCTTCTATTCATACTGCCGCTTGTTGGCATTAACCGGTGGAGGAGGTGGATCTCAAGGACATGGCGCAAGACAAAAGAGATCATCGCTACAAAGGGAGACGAAGAGACATCAGCAAATGGCGAATTGGGATTCCTGCCTGAACGCACATGCGCTATATGCTATCAGGACCAGAATGCCCTTGCAAGTACAGAAACCGAGATCATGGCAGCGGCTGCATCAAGTGGTGTCATTGGCTCAGCTCAGACCGACATCACCAATCCTTACGAGACCATTCCTTGCGGCTGCGTCTACTGCTTTGTTTGCATAGCAACTCGTCTAGAGCGGGAAGAAGGTGAGGGTTGGACATGTCTCAAGTGTGGCGAGCTCGTCAAAGAGTGCAAACCATGGAGCGGCGATGTTTTAGAGCCACCGAAGAAATCACCAACTACCAAAGTAGTGGCCTTTTTAGATGAGTCCAAGGATGTCGAGAGTGACGTCGGCACGGAAGACAACGCTGATAGCGAAGAAGTCGAAGGCATGAACAGCACCGAGTTTATTGACGTTTCTCGAGATGAAGACTACCCTGACGATACGGATACTGGCGACTCAGAAGGCTTCGAGGAGACCATGGACCAGGGCGAATGAAGAGGTCATACACTACCACGTTGTACACTATTGCAAGGCTTAACAGGGCGCTACACGAGGTCTTCCATTTTCAGCACCTTAATCCAAGGATAGCAAAAGCAAGCGATCATCAATATGCAAGGAGTTGCCCAGAGTTCTCAGAGACACAGGTGGATATGAGACGGTCTTCCAATACCCATGAAGAAATGAACGTAATGCTTTATCAAACGTCTTAATATCACATCTCAAGCTCATCTCCATTCTCTCGTGCAACTTTCCGGGGCCGGGGGCGCATCGGGGGGCAAAACGTGGCCGAGGCCCCACCGCACTGCCAACGCACTCCATGCTCGCCCAAAGAACGCTAGCGCCCGCTGGACAAGGGGGCTTGGATCCGCCGTGCCCACTGAGATTTCAGGGACCGTCCCAGGTACCTGGCGGCCTTAGCGTCACAAGCGCACTGAAATTCCAATTTACGCTGGTTCGTCTGGTATTCCTCCACCTCTCACCACGATCTGTCGACGCCCAAACACTTCGAGATCCGCGACGTGCACTTGTATAAGCAGCGCAGCGCCTCGAGACAACAACGCATATTCAAAGACGGTGTCGCACGGCTCTTCATCAAAGATTATAGAAGCGCGTCGACTGAATGTTGAACCAAGAAAGCAATCCAAAAGCCTTCGTGCAAGCCGAATAAACGAAACAATAACATACCCAATGTTGCAAAGATTGAAGAACAACCTGCCGAACCTCAATCATTCAAGCGATGCCGAGTTTCTTCCAGTTCACTCAAGGCAATGAGTCCCGCACCCGCCTCACGAGCGACGCCTCTCCTCTACTGGGCCGCTTCCGCGCCGTACCCCCGCGATCCGACGTCCCCAGCCGCCGCCGCCGCTCCAGCACCCTCGGCTTGTTCACATCCAACAACCGAGGGAGCGTTTACGTTGGCTACGGCGCGCTTCTGTCTGCTGCCGGTCTCGAAAACCATGATAATGATGCTGCTAGGGGCGGCGACTGGGAGGAATTGGGCGCGTGGGAGCGCATTTGGCGCAAGATCTCCAACGTCTGGGTCGAACCGAAACAAAGTGCCGTCAAGGGGGTTGTCGATGTGTGGTGGAGTCGATATGGAGTTTTGGTGGTGATGCCTGCTGTTCTGGTATGTTGACACCTCAACAATAGGACGAACCGAAGATTGGGGTTATGGGTCTAACACTGGCGGGAATTTAGGCTATTGCGTGGTGCGCGATACCGTTCCCAAAGTACTCTTTTCCTGGCGAGGACGACGACGATCGAGGTGATCCCGTGCCAGGGTCTGGGCGAAAGATACCTGGCCACGGAGAAGCAAGAGTACAGATCAACTTTTGGTTCTTCCTATTTGTGTACTATGGTTTCTACAACGTTACGGCTCTGATATGGATCACCAAAGTCTTCAACCTATACAGTTTGAACTGGTACGCCCCCCCCACCCCATCTAGAAGCACACCCACATGCTTACACACACGCAGGTGGCCACAGTCCTTCGGCTTTCCTCTCACCATGTCTATTATTGCCCTCATCTCGATAGCAGTCCCAATCCCGGTCTACCTCATTCCGGAGACGCGCTTCCTCACCGCCCACAACACGGCTTGGATCTCCTGGACCTTCATCGTCATGGCCATGCCCGTGACCATCGCCTTCTGCATCCTTCTCACCTCCCAGCGGCACCTGAAACTGCGCCAGTCGCTCTCAGAGACCCAACGCATCTTCACCACGTCTTGGTGGACGGGCGAGGCCGAAGGGAGCATTCCCCGGCGCGATAATCGCCGCCGGCCGAATCTCAGCAATGGCTCCTTCGACCCGGACGCGACACTCCAGGTCGCCGCCGAGCAGTCTCGCAACATGGGCGGTGTTAGGATGCGCCGTAGGTGGCTGCCCGCCAGTTTCGTCCGCTTCATCTGGTTCTGCCTGGCCCTTTCTGTTGGGCTCATGGCGTACGTGATAGGAGAGGCCTACGCCGAGATTTACTTGCGGACGCTGCCTCACAACAACTTGGAGACCATTGTGTACGTCTACAGCTGGATTATCACGGTGCACCTGCTTGATGCCCTAACTGGTTGGCTTCTGGGTATCCGCGAGGGCGAGCGAGTAGGCAGCTACCCCCTGAGCTGGGTCTTCAAACTGTGAGTGTATACCTTGCCTGAGTGAATCCGTAACGGCACCTACTAACACCACGATTCAGATACTTCATGCTCACCTATCAAACCTACGTCCGCGCTCTATACGCGCGCCTCCGATCCCCAGAGCAATTCGTCTACCTCCAGATCCTCTCCAGCAGCACCCTCATCATCCTCACCCCGCTCACAATGTCCCGCCTCTACCACCGCATCACCGTCGCTCTCAACTTCACAGACCAATCCTACGCGTCATACCAAAAAGTCTGCACCCGCAACGTCTTCATTCGCTTTCTGGCCGAGAACGTTTCCATGGCCGCCTTTCTCGGGAGCGTTTTGGTCTTGCACTTTGGGCCCAACAAGGACGTCTACCCGTACTTCGCCTTTGACGGCAAAGTGACGGGCGACGACTACGACTACGACTTTAAGCTCACCTTCTGGGCCTCGTCCGTCACCTGGGCGTGCGAGCTCGTCGCCTCCGTCATCGTTCGCGGGCTCATTAGCTGGTTTTTTGGTGTCGACGTCGGCATGGAGGGCAAGCTCGACCTCGCCGTGTGGCCGGAGCTGCTCCCGACAAGCGTGGCTGTCATGTTCCATGTCCTGCAGAACATGTTCTTCTCCATCATCCGGTTGCAATTCCACTGATGGAAAAAAAAAAAAAAAAAAGAAGCAATCGAAATGCTCAACCCTTCAACCCAAACCTTGTCCGGCTTCTGCTGGTTCTCTATTCGGCTCACGCATGCCGGTATCACCCTATCTTATCAACACATCAAACAGTCGTTTCCCATTCTAGAGGCGTTATCCAAGGTCGTTTAGCGGTTTCATTTTTTCTCGGCAAAAACGCCCCCTTTTTGCTGGGTGTGTGACACGACATCCTGGGTGACTTTTCTCCTTCAGCATCAAGCGATAAGAGAGAGGGAGGGAGAGAGTGAACAGGCGCACGGGTGGATAACAACTCTTTTTCTCTCTGCCCTTCTCGTCTGTCTCCTTCTCCGGCTTTTATTCTGCGCATAGGCGTATGTGTTGTCATTTTCCTGTTCTCGTTCAGCCCGCGTCTGTTTCTCTTGGCTATTGGTGCGGAACGACAAGAACTAAGAAAGATACCCCAGTAACCCCCCCCCCCCCCCCCCCCCCCCCCCCCCCCTCCCCCCCCCCCTCCCCCTCCCTCACCCCTCCCCTCTTCATCAACATCCACCCACAACCCCCACACACCCCCCCCCCCCCCCCCCCCCCCCCCCTTCAAGACCCCTCTCTCCCTACGTTCCCCTGTTCCCAGTCTATCTGATCAACTATACCAACTCATAACAACCCCCACCCCTCCTTGGCATGATTTATGAAGGACACATTCTACTTCTTTTTGGGTAGAAATCAATATTAATAGGTAGAATTAATGATGATCATATTAGACGATGCAAGAAGACCCTCTATCGGTGACTTGATGCGCCTCGATAGTCAAACCGCTTGGCAAATGTGCATCATCTGCAGGAGACAGAGGCGAGATGGCTGACTCATTTTGGGCTGCCCCTACGCCCCTACGGAGTCGGAGTAGTTGGTGTAGAGTCTAATAAGAGAAAACGTCATTCCAAAGAGAAGCACTCTGTCGCGGACTGCTTCTTGTCTCCCAAGGTGTCAGCTATTGATTGACTGGGAATTCGTTGGCCGTTGAACTGAATCGGACACCTGCATGATGCTGTCCTACCATCCCTCCTCCGGCCTAGAACCATGACACCCTCTCTCTCTCTCCCGGGCGCGGCGAGGCCTGTTCGACGGCGACTCGGTCAAGCTATGGTGCGGCTCGCGTTGCCCACTAACACGACCGAGCCGCTGATCGGTCCTGTCGAGTCCCGCAGGTCGATAAACCGCACAGGCGCGTCCGATTTGGCCGGGCGTCCTCGGTACTACAAGCAGTTCAAGCCCCGTGGTGCGTCTGCGGACGACGACGAACTTGCCTGACGGGTCAGAAAAGCAAAGAAGCATCATCAGCGCGCAGAATTGTCATGGACAGCCGCTTCCCCGGACGAGTTGGAATGGAGACTGATTGCAGCCGACCAACACCTATTCAGATGCCAGGCCGGTTCACTTGCCACCTGGCACGAATAGGACATCGACCCGAGTGGTCTCTGGCTGCATCTTTTCCCCTCCCCCAAAAGTTGAGCGACGTCAGCATATAGCTACCCATAGTTGCATATTTTCATAGGCCTTTTTCTTCTTTCTTCAGATCATGGAGCCAATGATACCAGACGCAGACAGTAGCGGTGAGGGAAAGGTCGCTCGATGGCCGGCCATGGAAGACTGACTCATTTGCATCGACTATCCGCTAGCGGTGCCGGACTTACGGCATCTTCGAGCCTTTCCAAGCCCAAACGGAAAGAACAGAGGCCGTTAATAAGATATCCGGTTAAGAAATCTGCTCCCGGGAGGTTGCGTCGACGGGGTCCATTTTCACCTGTGCCGGAGCGTTTTGGACACCGCTAATGCACCCAATCTTGCTTGATGCTGCCGCCGGCCCCGGACATGTGAAGTCTCCCGTCTCCTATTGCGGCTACGAGATTCCCCGGCTCGCATGGCAAGCAGTCTGATGGATTACACCCGACTCATATTGTTGGCTATTTGCAGGGAATTCATGATGACTCCCAGCTGACCGAGCAGACCATTGTGTTTCATTGGGAAAGGTAATTGTTCTCGAGCATTCTGCGGAGGCTACTAAGTTCTTGGGGCTCCAGAAGAGTAGGTTGCTCGTCAATGACAACGAGGTACTGCGCCTGGCGTCTCCGTCTGAGCCGCCTGATGAAATTGAGTCCCACCATCCGGGGGCAGGCCGGGGCCCGATGGTAAATCATTGACAAAGAACATGATGGCTTCGGCCACTCAGCAGAAAGACCAGGGGTGACACTGCTTAATTGCGTTTTGAGGAATGGCTTCCAACCTGAGATGGGACGCTACATGCCTGCGCATGTATCATGGTTATTAGTAGTGTCCCCATCGTATGGTAATCAACCACTTGGCATATATGTATATATATTTATATGTATCGGAATCGGATTACGACCATAGGACGGCTTCCTGGTGTAATGATGCCTCATCGACCAGGCACTCCGTTGACAAAGCTTTTCCAAGCTTGGACCAAAAAGACGGATGAGGATCTTTCACAGGTTGACGGGAGAAAGAAGTATGGAACTCGGGTTCCAGACTGGGCCATCAGTGACTTGCTAGAAATAGGAAAGGGGGGTTCCGGGACGACGGGCGGAAATGATCGGATAAGATGGTCTCGAAGCATTCGGACGGAATCTGATTTATGGGGTTGCCAAGAAGTTGTCCCAGTCCATGACAAGGCCCAGTTTTCTCAAGATTCGTATGTGTTAGGACGGAGTATACATTGTAGACGCACACTGAGGTGCCGAGTATCCTCATGTAGGATTCGTGCATGGTTGACGATGTGGTGTGGTAGTGGGATGAGTCGGCGGCTGGTGCGAGCTCGGTACCTCATGAACCGGCGCCTGAGTTCAACAGAATATCCCAATTGATACGGCTCATTTCCTGTCGAGGACGCGGGGGCACAGGTTGTTCACAGGGGATCTTTGAGTTGTGATTCGACGGTCACCCTGGCCGTGGCCGTGACTCAATGCGAAGCGATGGCAGGATGTTGCGGCGGTTCGCCTGTCGCTCGGGATGCTTCTTGCAGGACAGGAATGGTAAGCGGGCGAGACCTCTCGACGGAACGAGTGGGGTGAGAGTTGAAAATTGACGGTACGGCACAGCGGTAGGACCTCTCTGGCTGCTGATCGACTAAATGGAAACGCGGGACCATGTTGCCTGTCGGACAGGTACGAGACAAGTGGGCTGTGAGATGTAATAAGCTCTCAACAAACATAAGGAACTCAACGAAGTACAAGTACATGAAATGGGTGCAGGTGAAGCACCTTCGAGCATTCCTGGAAACCTTCCTGAAAACCTGCCGCGGTGGCTTGATGGTTCCGGTTTGGGTCAGGTTTGAGCTTTGCTGGACCTGAACAAGATGCCCTGACGAGTCCATGCCGTGATGTATCTCTATAGACCATTGCCTGTATGCCATGCCAGGCATGTTACGATTGCTGTACGGAGGCACATGGGGTCGACCGACGTTCCCCTGTTGGCGGATGGAAATCGATGGTCCAAGGATCAAAGCCAAGATATCGGGTCAACGGTGTTATCCCTGCACTCTGTAATTGGCTCTGGAGGAAGAGGGAGATAGATACATGGGCCGAGTGCATCTAGAAGCAAAACGGGAGCAGAGGAGTTGTTCTATGGTCAAGTCCAAGGTATGGAGTGGAGGAACAAATCTAGGCCGCCGTTGTCCTAGGTTTGAGGGGGGCAAATTCAAAGAGGATGGGTAATCTTGTATCCGTAAGGGAAGGCACAATGCCATAGGAACGTTGCTCTGCAAGCCAACACCTCAAGGTTGTTGTTGTTGTTGTTGTTGCCGATGATGAATCCGTACTTTCCTTTCCCCTGCTCTCCCCTACCTCGACCTCGTCATTTGTTTCACTCTTCTCTGCTCCACATCATGTTCGTGCTCCCTACGATACATCCTTAGACTATTCATATAGGCCGCAATAAATTCGGACGTTTGAAGCAAGCTGAGATGTTGTCGTGATCATCGGGTCTTGAGACCTTCAGCGGTGGGGGCCGTCAAAGGGGGCCGACAGACGAGATCCAGAGTCACTAATTGATACGGCAGTATCCGTACCCTCGTTCGCAGCACCAGAGACCGCCATCGCCGCAACATCACCATAGCGCGAGCTGACTTTGCACCCAAGCCGACTGCCTACCCTTTCCGTACGGGGATTGCGGTGATGAAATAGCACGGCATGTTTGTACCACCTACACGCGCATGCAGGACGCTGCACCACATTACACCATTCATCGGTGTTGGACAGGGAAAAAGGCAAGGGCCCCGGTCCAAGGCTAAATGCCCTCCGGTTCTGGGGGTAGGTACTTGGTGCGGCACGTCTCGGAGCAAACCACACGTTCGCAACGAAGGTTCGTGTTGTCGACCTGTATCCGTAGCCCGGGCTGGTTTGCCAGTTCCCCGCGGCGCTTAACGAAGCTGCACCGCCGAGAACTAATACCTCGTTCCCCTCTCTTCAGGCGATGACCTGGTTTCCATGCGTACCCGGGCCACGTTTCCTGACGCGGCAAGGCAAGGAGGGAAACGGCCACATCAACGAAGAGAGCACAGCGAGGTTAGTGGCAATCAGAGGCGTGGATGTCCCGCTGTCTTTGATTCATTGGCCCAGTTGATATGCCATGCAACATGCAGTGGCTTCCTTGCGTTTGTGCTGGGCTGCCTGAAGAGGGTGAGACAGAGACAGCTTGTGTGTCCCGGAACCCTCTCTCGAAGGTGGTGGTGGCATTGTGGGGTGCTGCTTCTTCGCTCCCTGGTCCGTTCGTCCAAGGTCCCCTGCCTTGCGATATGGAGGGGTCGATGCTGCGATGGAGGGGCACTTTGACTGAGAGACATCCCACCTCCCACCTGCGCCGTTGCCGGCTTACCATTTGCTATTACACCCAGATACGATATCGTGCGACTTGTGAGACGAGAAGTAGCCCAGGAAATCCGTTCACCTGCGGGCAGCAGGCATCGCTTCATCTCCAAGTCAACGTAAGGCAGGCAAGTCCCTTGTTGAAATACAATGGGCTCCCAAGGTTGGGCGGCAATGAAAAGACAGAAAGGGCATCAAAGGCAGGGCTCGGAAGAGACAAAGGAAAAGCAAAGATAATGGATGCTCGCCATCCTATCTAGGCACATCCCGAAGAGCCTTAAATGAGCTTTTCCTATCAAGCCTTGAGCCAGCTTGGCCAAGTGCCCTCATCGCTGTCATTTTCGCTGCGGACCACACATGGAATCGACCTGCCCACTTCGCACCACACGTAGTGACACCCTACCCGTATCACAACTCTCCACTCCCTAATCGATGGCGCGCGTTCACTTTCACCATTCTACCTCACGCTACCTTCATAGTTCCTAGTTTAGTTTTTTTTTTTCTTCTGCCTTATTTTCCTCTTCCCGCCTCTGCTACCTTCATGATCCCTGGGGCCTGGACTGGTATTACCATCACCTCCCTAGGCATCCGTCCCCCTTCTGCGGGCCGTCTGCCAGCCTGCTTTCGTGCTTTCATGCCTTGTCTCACCCTCCACCCCGGCGAGCCGAGCTGGATTAGCCTGCCACTCTCCTTCCCACACTCTCTTCTCTCACACCTCAGTCCAGACGGGTACGAAGTACACACACTTATTCCCCCCCCCTCGGTCAGAATAAGGAACCGGTACCTAGTAACTCCGTAGTCCTAGCAGCTCCAATACAATCTCCACGTACCCCGAGCACATTGTCTACCAACATTACCGTTGTTCACCACCTGCCACTAGGTCCTGTCCCACACCCCTCCTCTCGCTCACACTCAGCCTACTGTGTTCTCCGGGATCCGACCCCAAAATTTTCTTCTGCCAACCTAGATACAGACTCATATCATTGCTTCCCAACCCTCCCAGCCAGACCTTCTTAATCCACCTGCTCCTCCCCTCTCCTCTCTTCACAATGTCCTCCGAACAACTCCCCATCTCAAACGACGCCTCTCCGGCTCCAATCAACCCTTTGGCCGCCCATCCCGTCCGAGGCACCGCCGATCTCCTCAACAACCCTCAAGATGCCCAGGGACGACAGCCCGCCTCCGCCACCGCCGCCTCCTCCGAACTCGCCAGTTGGAAGGTGAAGCTCACGGGCGCTCTGCGTCACTTTGCTGACTTCCCCATCAAGGGCATTGATTTTGTCGATATCATGCCCCTCTTCCTCGACCCCACCGTCCACCAGACTCTCGGTGATGCCCTTGAGCTGCAGGTCAAGGAGGGATTCCCGACTCTCCCCGACGTCATTGTTGGTCTCGACGCCCGTGGTTTCCTTTTCGGCCCCGGCCTGGCCCTCCGTCTCGGCACCGGCTTCGCCCCGGTGCGCAAGCAGGGCAAGCTGCCCGGCCCGTGCGTCACTGCCGAGTACCAGAAGGAGTACGGCTCCGACTTCTTCCAGATGCAGCAGGATGCTATCAAGCCTGGCCAGAAGGTTCTGGTCGTCGACGACATCATTGCTACTGGTGAGTTGCATACTCTGCGTCCTCAACAACTACCTCCCGCAGTCCCACTGACACCAGATAGGTGGTTCCGCGAAGGCTGCGGCCGACCTCATCAAGCAGCTCGGCGGCGAGATTATTGGCTACCTTTTCATCTTGGAGATCCCAGGCCTCAACGGACGTGAGAAGCTCGGCGACACAAAGACCATCATTCTCCTCGAGGACGCATAAAGCACACTATGGGGTGGGCCACATGGGCTGTGCAGATAAGCCCGGTGATCAGCACACATCTTCGACGGACAGGTAGATGTCTCCGATTCAACTTGGCACAACCTGGGTTCTCGAAAGTACATAGGTACCTGCCGTGGGAGGACTGACCTTGATGCCCATCGAGGTGTCAAGGTTAATGAGAAAGGGCCTGTTTCCTTGCAGCTTAACCTCATTTCGGCTCTCTTCCACACGAACATGCGCGAAAAGTGACATCGCGCCGGCGTTTTGGGTTACAAAAAGTAGGACGGCAAACTGATTGGAAAGATGAGACATAGACGTTATGAATGGAAAGACTCGGACAGGAGTCGATGCGCGCGATCGAGTTCTTAACAACACGAGCGCCTTGAATATAATGATGAGCAAATACCTAGTATCCACCTGGCCAACGTGGGAATGCTCAGCCTTCAAGACTTCGGTACCTTTCAAGTCCCACTCCTATCCAGAATTCCAGATGCTTGATATGCATGTCCAAGACATTGCGGCAGCCAGTTCGCGGGGTCGTCTGAGCCTCGTGTAAGTTGATTAGTCTTTACCAGGGACCTGAGGTGTGTGCAGCAACTTGCACGAATGCATGCTAGAAGTAAAGCGACGGAGAGGCCTCAGCAAAAAAAAAAAAAAAAAAAAATTCGTAAGTGCGTCTAATGTGCAAGAACTACTAGAAATTCTGGTGATGGCCTCACCTCGTCTTCAATGCCCCGCCCTAGCTGCACTTACCTGAGCGGTTGTGAGTAAGGCCCTTGGCAAGAACTCACGCCCACCTTCCATTCGGGATTCCACCTGTCTCTGGTGCGCTTCTCGATAACTCTGCATCTATTATCGCCCTTCCTTCCCAAGTCCAGGACGGCTGCTTTGGAACCCCGAGCTTTTTGTGATACTCGAATGCGGGTCGTAAGACGAGCGGAGGGGAAAAGGGACCGGACCATTCACGGATCGTCCTCAACCTGGATCTACAAGCACAGTGAGAAACCTACACCACAACCACTACGACTTTGGACAGGCTCCAAATAGCTCAGAACTCGGGATTAAACCAAACACAAGGCGGGATGAAGGCGCCACCAAAGAAAAAAAGGGCGTGCTGATCCATGATGTCACAACCTGCCGAGCGACCCCTCGATTTCTTAAAGCTGCCTTAATCGGGATAACCCCACCTCTTCTCGCCGCTCATCCTCGACGCGTGAGCGGTCACTGGGCGGGCATGCCTTTAGGTAGACCTGATTGGAACTTGTTACCCATTTTGGGACAGCTGTCTCGTTGGGGATCGTGGTACAGAACTGGTCTGCTTGGGTGCAGGGTTTGCTAAGCTGTGCTGTTCCCGAGTAGAATTAATAAGCTGTCCTGGGCTCAGAGCTGACTTCCGCGACGTTCAGGTGAGGCGGGGTTGAATGGAATTTATAAGCCACGGTGCATCTACCTACCTCTTTATATATGCGTGGGTATCTTTTGCGTCTCCAAGCTGCTGTCCATTTGCTGGAACTCTCGTGACCACACACATAGATCTTGGTAAATTTACGAAACTTCCAATATGACTCTCAAGCTTTTCCTGTAAGCAGCCCCAGGCTGTCCCAGTCTCACAAAAATGTCGTAGCTAATAATTTACATCGCAGGACGGGCGTCACTGGTATGAAATGACTTTTCTCTTTCTCTCTCTGTTTCTCTCTCATATTACATCAAATTTGCGAATCGAATAATGATCTCTTTTCTAACATATAAATTCAAGGCTACATTGGCGGCGATGCCTTTTATGCGCTCTACGAAAAGCACCCAGAATACGAATATTCCCTCCTAGTGCGCAACGAAGAGCGCGCCGCTCCTGTGAGAAAGGCATTCCCCAATGTCCGTATAGTACTCGGTGGCTTGGAGGACGCAAGTGTGATTGAAAAGGAGGCCGCGGCTGCTGACGTGGTTGTTCGTACGTTGCTGCCCACCGCCTCCCCCCCCTCCCCCACCCTCCCTCCCCCCCCCCCCAGCCCCCCCGGGGGGGGAGAGGGCGGGGGGGGTAGCAAGGGGGCGCGCGGCCCGCCGGAGGTGGTGCCGGCCGGCGGCCCCCCCCCCCCCCCCCCCTCAAGTTCTCCTTCTGCCCCGGGAACCGGTGTCGGGCAGAGATGAGAGATGTTAACATGAAGGATAGACACTGCTGGGTCTGCCGATGATGAGCCATCCGCAAAGGCCATTGCAAAGGGATTGGCAGAGGGACACACACCTGAGAAGCCGGGCTTCTGGATTCACGTCTCGGGCACGGGTATCCTGCAATGGGTGAGGAGACTATCCCCAAACCCTCTCCTTTTTCATCTCGAGGAAATATAGCCACTAATGCCAGAGGGTCGTTGCCCACAGTACGACATAAAGCACGAACGCTACGGCGAGGCGCCCCTCCCAGACCAAGACTACCACGACATCCGCGACATTGACCGCATCCTCTCCCTCCCAGACGAGGCCATCCATCGCGACATTGACAAGATTGTTCTCGGCGCCAACTCCCCCTCTGTGCGCACCGCCATCTTCGGCCCGCCGACTATCTACGGCCGCGGCCGCGGGCCCGTCAACCAGCGCTCGATCCAGGTGCCTTCCCTCGCGCAGGCGACGCTGGAGAAGGGGTTCGCGCCAGTGGTCGCGCCGGGCAAGACGGAGTGGGACAATGTACACGTGCGTGACCTGTCGCGGCTGTTTGTCACGCTCGTGGAGACGACGCAGGACGGGCCCAAGAACGCCGATCCGGAGATTCTGGGGCCCCGGGCCTATTACTTTGTCGAGAGCGGGACGCACGTTTGGCGCGACGTCGCGACGTGGGTTGCGGAGGAGGCGCATAGGCAGGGGTTCCTGCCGGCGGCGCTGACCAAGGAGGCGACGATGAAGGAGGTGTTGCAGAGTGACGGTAAGGCGAATGCCACGTGGGGGTTGAATTCCAAGAGCAAGGCGGAGAGGGCGCGCAAGTATCTTGGGTGGGAGGCCGAAAACAAGAGTCTCAAGGAGGAGATTGCCGATACGGTTGCTTTTGAGGCGACGAGGTTGAAGATTGAACCCAAGGAGAAGAAGCAGTAAAGTAGCACATTACAAATATAGGTCGATAGTCTCATATGAGCTGTTTTCTCAATTTCACTCATGGTCCAGACCGAGGCTTGATTTTTGGTTGTCGGTTGCTTTGAAAAAGGGGGTTTCGCCTATCAAAAGAGAAGAAGAGCATCATCTATACCTCCTCTGCCTCCTCGTGATCAATGGCAAAAACAACCGTCATCTCGACCTCGTTGCCCCAACCAGGGTGTAGCCCCATCTCCTGCCACGCCTTTTCGACATCAATCTCCAAGACGAAGTCGTGGCTCTTGCTGAGCGATACCGTGTGGACCGGAATCACAGAGTTCTGGATGCTGACGAGGAAATCATCCTCTATCGTCAATTCTGGCAGCTTCGAGATATAAAGACCTGTTTGTTTGGTTTTTTCCCGATCAGATTTTGTTCCTTCAACTTCACCAAAATGTGAGGTGGACTTACCGAGAACGCCGAGCGCCTTGAGACGAGTCTTGAGCTCCACCTTTCCATCGTGCCGCAACAGAAAGTCGCTGTTGAGTATGGCCGCCGCACCAGTCATCTTGCCCACCAGGCCCAGGTTGGCGGTCCACACCTTGCCCCTGGTCTCGCTATTAAACCCAGAGAGCGGGTAGGCGGTGAAGATGTCGTATCCGCGCACGTCGAGCGACACCGTGAGGGAGGACGCGGCCGAGCCGGAGGACACGGGCTCGCTGACTTTTCCCGACGAGTGCGCCCGGATGACGTAGCGCATGGAGGGCAGGACGCCGGAGAAGGCGGCGGCGAGCGGGATGATCTCCGTCAGGGGCCGAGCAGAGATGTTGAAGACGCCGAGGATCGGGGTGCCCGTCACGGCGGCGCCGTGGTAGCTGCCGATCTTGAGCAGACCGTCGTCGTCGTAGCCCGTATACGGGTCGATGGTCTTCCCGACCACGCTGGGTCGGAAGATGACGGTCTTGCCGCGGATCGTGGGACCCGTCATCTGCTTGATGAGATCCAGGTCGTACTGCCCAGGGACGTCGGTGATGTAAATGGGCCCTCCGCTGACGCAACGCGCCGCGGCGTGGAAGCCAGAGTAGTCGTGGACGGTCTGGAACATGTCCCAATCGGGCAGGATGTTGAGATGCTGTGTGAACAAGCTGTTGTGAGCGTTCGTCCAGACGTGCCAGGGGTGGGAAGCCGGGATTTCGGGGAAGAAGTCATCCGAGTTGCGGCACAGGATCGCGGGCCTGTTCCGGGGCATCTGGTTGTAAAACATAATCTGCGGCGTCTGCGACATGCAGGAGATGGTCTTGATGCTGAAGTGCCGGAGAGATGATATAGTCCAGGCGTCGAGGTAAGCATCGATGAGTTCACGGCGGGCGCTGGCCGAGACCCAGGTATCTGTCATGAATTGGGCGTCCGTCTTCACGCCGTCGATGCCACAGTCGACAAGGAATTTGTAAAAGTCGTTGTAGAACCTGTCAACGTCGTCTTTGTCGACCACAGTCATCTTACCTCCGAGGGGCAGGTTGCGTCGTTCGGCATCCTCCCGTATAACCTCTATCGTCTGGTACTCTTTGGCGATCTTTCCGTCCGGTGAAACACCCGCCCAATAACCTTCTTGTGTCAGCGTTTTTATGCTTCAAATACAACAAGGCGGCTTACCCAGAAGGGCATGCCAGACGGCAATGTGCTGGATGTGCGGATGTTTCTGTCGAATGTGTGCCACGGTGGCCTTCAGGCCTTGGGGGAAAGCTTTAGGCTCGGCTTCGAACTCGCACCAACCATGCTGAAACTGGCCATGTCCTCTGTAGTCAATTGTTTGCCAGTTGTCGTCAATGATGAGGCTGGAGACTCTGATATCGTTCTCGGCCAGCTTGTCGACTGCATCAAAGACCTTTTCGTCTGTGAGACGCTGCCCGAGAGCATTCCAAGTGCCTTGTCAAGCGAGTTAACCAAAAATCAGGCAATGGGGAAGAGACCGTAGGTTGAAATTTCACGATACTTACAGTAACCGAGTCCATCGTACCAGTTCTCCATCCACTCTGGTTTAACGCCCTCCTCGATCGCCTTCATCTCAGCCAACAGCTCGCCACTCGCCTTCTTCTCCTGAAGGATATACTGTCTAGCTTGATACATGACACAAGCATTTGCGCTCTCGAAGTTGTCTCCTGTTCCAATCAGGATGGTAGCAGGTTCTGATTTTGTGCTATCATTACGAGCCTGCAACTTGTAAGCATACAACTGTTCTGGTGAAATGGAGCTTAATGACGCACGTGAACAGACAGTTGCCCAGATTCGCCGTGGCGGAATACAGGCAGAACATGGTTGCCTCCACTGACGGCGAGGAAAACAAGATGCTTGCCTTCTGGACTCAGGAATGAGCAGAGGACGCCATCTTTATCGAGGTGAAACGTGTTCTTTCCGTGGCGAGGAGCCAGCCAGGGCGTCCAAATACGGATAAGAGCAAACCACCTACTACTGTCAGCATCCCCCGCTAAATGAAATTGGTATCTCAGGGGAGAGTTCTCGAGGCGAACTTGAACTTGATAATGGGCGTATCTCCAAAGATCAGGCTTACCTTAGAAACCCTCCCCAAGGTACTCCTATCGATATATCGGCAAGTTTCGACTCATCTCCATCCACGGCATCTATGGCAGCTTCAAGTGACCAAAGCCGAGTTCCGGGGCATTGGCTCATCATTGGCTTCACTTTCCATGCAGGGTTCAGGCCAGACACGACGTCATCAATGCTTTCGGAAACAGTCTCAAGAACGGGTCTCGCGTTGAGGACCACAGTGCCATCACCAACTCCCAGCTCGTCACGAGTCCATCTCCATGGCTCGTCCGACGAGTGTCGGAACTTGAGAGTGAACTGATACGATGTTTTGAAAGAAACAGAAGCGGAATAAAAGAACCGCCGGACGTTATCCGGGACCGCCTGCAAGGTCGTCGGAGTGTCTTCATCGGAGATGCGGGCAAGAGCAGTTTCACTCCAATCGGCTCCGTCACTTGAGTGCCATACAGCAACTTCCCAAGATTCACCCGCGCGAGAAGCAGGGATCTCTAGGACTACGGTGACAGGAAGACTTCCATTCGAGACCTGCGTATACTGGCCGAGTGGAGGATAGCTCTGGATGACGGCCTTCATAGTGTCGGCGATAGCTTCTGGGGCTGGCTTCTGTTTTGAGACGAAAAGAGATTGAAAGACTTCGGCAAAATTGTAGTTGTCTGACGGCATCTTGATGTCATAAAGATACAAAACCACGAGGAAAGAGCGCAAGTGATGAGGCAGCAGATAATCGAGATGATGTCAATGGCGAATCAGAATAACGAGAGGCTCTTGTTCAGTTGCTAAAGTAGAAATGCTGTAATATACTCTCATCCTATGTAAGAATTTGCGAGACTTGACATCTGCGGTGAAGGCAATTAGGTAGTCCTGTGACCTGCTGCACTAACAGCTCATCCCAATGGTCTCAGCTGCACGACTGGGACTTGACGCAAGAGCCGCTGTCGCCTGGGCACGGGGCAGTATCCGCTTAATTGGCCAATTGGCATTTGCGTACAAAAGGGAGAAGAGAATGATTCATCGATTGGGAGGGAATAGCTATGCGCAATGAAGCGCGAATATCAAATAACAGAAACTGAAGATGCGATATTACCTCGAGGGCAGAGATATGCCGTAACTCTGAGTCAATATGACCAATGCTGGGAATTATTTACAGCTGTTCCGGCAAGGAATAGTCAATGACAGAATATTAGTTAGATTGAACACAAGGTGGATCTGGTGGTACCGGGATACTGGGGCCGCAGATTAGTTACGTGCCTCCTCTGATTGGCTCCAGTTGCTGGGCCGGGGCATTCCGGAAGCCGGCTTCGCGCCTCGATTCCAAGGCACGCAGAGCCTTTCGAAAGCGAAAGCTTTCTGAGCCGAAACCTCATTGAAAGATTTCATCAAACACCTCATATCATTCCCCATCCTCCACAACTCCGCCATGGCGTCCCGGAGACTAGCTTTGAACCTCTCGCAGGGGCTGCGAAGCCGGGCTGCTCTTTCCAGAGCGAGTCCAATTACCCGGAGCTTCGCCACGCCTTCCAATACCCCCTTCGGCAAGACTCAGACGACAACGTTGAAGAATGGACTGACGGTACGCAATCCCATCCGCTCATCCGCCCTTCCGCCCCATGGCTCAATTGGCCTCGAAAACCGCGTCGCGAATCGAGTCTGACAATTAATATATAGGTCGCCACCGACTACTCGCCGTTCGCCCAGACCTCGACCGTTGGCGTGTGGATTGACGCCGGCTCAAGGGCTGAGACCGACGAGACCAATGGCACCGCACACTTCCTCGAGCACCTTGCCTTCAAGGTAGGCCACACTGCGACGGCAATGCGATGAGATCCACCTATTGATACGAATTTAGGGCACCACAAACCGGACGCAGCAGCAGCTCGAGCTCGAGATCGAGAATATGGGTGGTCACTTGAACGCCTACACCTCGGTTCGTTCCCGTCGACCGAAACCATCCAAATTCCCTTCAATTGACAATCGTACAGCGCGAAAACACCGTCTACTTCGCCAAGGCATTCAACTCCGATGTTCCCCAGACCGTCGATATTCTTGCCGACATTCTCCAGAACTCCAAGCTCGAGGAGTCCGCCATCGAGCGTGAGCGCGATGTCATCCTCCGCGAGTCCGAGGAAGTCGAGAAGCAGATGGAGGAGGTTGTCTTCGACCACCTTCACGCTACTGCCTTCCAGCACCAACCCCTTGGCCGCACCATCCTTGGTCCCCGCGAGAACATCCGTGACATCACCCGCACAGAGCTCACCAACTACATCAAGAACAACTACACTGCCGACCGCATGGTCCTTGTTGGCGCTGGTGGCATCCCCCACGAGAAGCTCGTCGAGCTCGCCGAGAAGAACTTCAGCGGCCTCCCGACCTCCGGCCCTCAGACTCAGGCATACCTTCAGTCCAAGCAGAAGGCCGACTTCATCGGATCTGATGTCCGTGTCCGTGACGACAACATCCCTACCGCCAACATCGCCATTGCTGTTGAGGGTGTCAGCTGGAACGACGACGACTACTACACCGCCCTCGTTGCCCAGGCTATCGTCGGCAACTATGACAAGGCCATTGGCAACGCTGCGCACCAGGGCAGCAAGCTCAGCGGTTTCGTCCACAAGCACGACATTGCCAACAGCTTCATGTCCTTCTCCACCAGCTACAGTGACACTGGGTAAGCAGCATCGATACAGCTAGGAAGAACACCTGCTAATACTTACTAGCCTCTGGGGTATTTACCTCGTCACCGACAAGCACGACCGCATCGACGATCTCGTTTACTTCGCCCAGCGCGAGTGGATGCGCTTGGCCCGCAACGTCAGTGAGGCTGAGACTGAGCGCGCCAAGGCCCAGCTCAAGGCCTCCATTCTCCTCTCCCTTGACGGCACCACCGCCATTGCTGAGGACATTGGTCGCCAGCTGGTCACCACCGGCCGTCGCGCCAACCCTGCCGAGATTGAGCGTACCATCGACGCCATTACCGAGAAGGATGTTATGGACTTTGCCAGCAGGAAGCTTTGGGACCAGGACATTGCCGTCTCCGCCGTTGGAAGCATTGAGGGTCTCTTCGATTACTCCAGACTCAGGGCCACGATGAAGCCCAAGTACTAAATGTGGTTATGGCGATTTCCGGGGAGATTAGGGTATAGAGTGTATGAGATACCGTTACAGGCAGGCTAGTGTATCATAAAGACTTCCCTTGTTCATATGTCTGTGATAACTGCAAGCTTAACACCTTGACGACCTAATTTTATTTTGTTTTATTGCAAACAACTACGATCTTTGGATGTCACAGGGATTTAGTCGTATCTATTTCACTCACTTCCTAAGCGTGAGGACGACTGTTTGTCCCCCGAAAATGGTACACAATGGAATGTGCTTCAGCTTTGGAAGTAACAAAAATACTGTCTAGGAGCTGCGCAGCTTTCATCTTAGGGTCGACACCTTTGGGAAGGGGGGGGGGGGGGGGGGGGCGGGGGACCGGGAAGCGGCCGGGCTAACAAGGTAG